TGGACAGGGGGAGTGTGACCCTGGTGGTTCTCTTGGACATCTCAGCGGCTTTCAATACCATCAACCATGGTATCCTTCTGGGACTGCTCTCCGGGATGGGTCTTGGGGCACAGCTCTGTCTTGGCTCCAGTCCTTCTTGGAGGGTCGTTCCCAGATGGTGAAGCTGAAGGACACCTGCTCGGACCCCTGGCCTTCGACCTGTGGGGTCCCGTAAGGTTCCATTCTCTCCCCCAAAGGAAGATAGGTGCTTTTGAACTGTGGTGCTGCAGGAAAATTCTGAGAGTGCCATGGATCGTGAGAAGATCCAACCAGTCCATACTTCAGGAAATAAAGCCCTACTGCTCATTAGAGGGAAGGATATTAGGGGCAAAGATGAAGTACTTTGGCCACATCAATTTTTTTTTTCATGTCAGGAGCGACCTGAGAAACTGCAAGTCGCTTCTGGTGTGAGAGAATTGGCCGTCTGCAAGGACGTTGCCCAGAGGATGTCCGGATGATTTGATGTTTTATCATCCTTGTGGAACACATCATGAGAACCCAGAAATTATATGCAGAAAGTACAGATTTCAATATTAATGTCAAAAATACAAAGTATGATTTTACATAGGATTTGTGCTACATCAGAACAGTAAAGACAAATATCACTTAAGTAAAATAAACTTTAAATATTAATAACCAGGAAAAAAAAGGTGTAAACACTAAACTAATCTGGAGAAGACAATGATGCTGGGGAAAATGGAAGGAAAAAGGAAGAGGGGACAACCAAGGGCAAGATGGATGGATAGCATCATTAAAGTGACTGTTTTGACTCTGAAGGAGCTGGGGGTGGTGATGGCCAACAGGGAGCTGTGGCGTGGGCTGGTCCATGAGGTTACGAAGAGTTGGAAGTGAGTAAATGAATAAACAACAACAACTTGATTTGGTGTCTATATTGTAGTTGGAACTGGCAAGATTAAGAGCCATATGATTTTTATACTACTAAAATATTCTATGGTCAAAGATCCTGTAAAGTTCCATGCATGTACACAATCATCATGATTGTCTTCAGTCACTCCCAAAATACTTTATATTTCTAGCTGAAAAGATTTTGTACCCTTGTTCCATTAATGAACTCCAGTCTAGGCCACAAGAGTGACATATTTCTTCTAGCTGCCTGCCTGGTTATACAGAAGCTTCTCAGTTTCTTGAATTCTGAGTTTTTATTAATCTCTGCCTTAATCATAGTTCTTTTTTTTCACTGTGGCTTTAGTCTTAGAGTTATTACTTCCTCCATTTTGAGTGTAATTTTATTCTTTAGATGTTCAAAGCTCTCCCCAGACTCTGGTCCCAAAAGGATGCTCTTAAATACACACTTTTATTCATCATTAATATATATTTCAAATACCTACAAAGGCACATGGGTTTTGGAATTTTTCTTCTTTTTATTCAAGGATTAACTTTAATATGAAATTGCTTGTGTGACAAAATTGCATGTAACAGTAATTGCAAAACCATGTCAGGCTCTTTGAGCTCAAAAATAAGAATTCATGCAAAGGTAGCTTTTTTTCAGTTTCATTCAATGTAATGGTAAATGTATACTCATGGATTATGTCCAATAGCGGATGTCTACCAATGGAATAAGCAGATTGTCCCTGTCTCTGCCCCTTTGTAATCCTTTGCCAAATTTAATCCAGATCCTCAGAGTGAGGAAGGTACAGAAAATGTAGGAGAGGGAAAATATTGTCATGTAGTTCAGGTAGGACTCATAATACCTTTAATTACCTTGAAATCAATTGAAGCCAAAGTGACTTCATAATGCTTAATTTGTACTCATTCTGTGATGAACACATATAAACTTAATGTTTCACGATTCACCACTTAGGCTTTCCTTGCTTTTGCATTTTAAGCCTGGACAATGACTCAGAGAATGGTATCCATCCACATCTATAGTAATGTGAACAACATTTTCATAATTTTCAAATTCATTATCTTGTAGTTTGGAGATTCCAAATAAAATCTACGTAATTAAAAAGGAACACATAATGCCAATATTTTTAAAGGCTCAGTCAGCTTTTTATCTTAAAGGATATAAAAATACTTGATCAATGTTAATGTATCTATAATCATAATTTTGAGGAAAGGTGATATCTACAATTTAGGAAATAAAATTAGAAACCATTGTATAAACAGCAGCCTAAAAGCTATGGAATTTCTGCCCTATTTCTTTGCTAGCTAATGAAATACATTTTGAAAAATATATACTCTTTTTAGAATAATTTAATAAACTGTTCTGTCATCAAATGAAGAATCAGCATGGTTGCCTTGGTGATGGAGATTATTCATGCGACTGCTGGATTCTGTCAGTTTTCTAAACATGAATTCATAATATTTTGGAGTTATTAACAATATGCCTCTCTGATGAAGATAAATTGCAACCTTTCAATTGGCCATGTAAGCCTTCCATGAAAATACAACTGCCTTGGCAATTCAGCAAGAAGATCTTATATGATTATCATCAGATAATTAAACCTATTTGTCATAAAGAACAAGGCAGATGCTTTAAAAAAAACCAACAACCAGAAGTTTCAAGTAATATTAATCCTTTCCTGTATCTCAAATAATATGAGTTCTTTGTGACATATTATATTTGAGTCCAAAAAACTGCCACCATCGAATAGAAGCTATGCTTTAATGGAATATGAGACTTAAATCACTGAATTAAACTCTGGTGATCTTTAGGACTTTGGAACTAGAACAAAATGTATCACTTCCCTAATAGTATTTCCAGTTGCTGTATATACTCTCCCCACCCCAAGCTTAATGGGACCTCCTCAAACTCAAGTTTATTTCTGTCTGTATTGTCATTAATCTGACAAAAACATAAAATGTGGCTGCAGCCCCCAAAAGGTGAAGAACAAAAATAATACTGCAAAATCTTGAACACAATGGTGTTGTTTTCTTTAATAACGACTAGGTTGTTAGTCATGGTGGAATGTGTGAAAAAGAGATAAGGCACTGAGAACTGGATATTTTGTAGGAAGCAGTTTTGCTAATTAGCCATGCACCTGTATTAATATTAATAGTGTGCTGTTGGACTGAGTTGAAATTAATGCAAATTTAAATCAGTTTTTAAAATACACTGACTTTTCATTGGTTTTCATTGAACTGGATCAGTTTGTGTTAGCAAGATGAATATAGATGGACTTCTGATATTCTTCGTCAGGGGATGTGGTCAATTCAGACTAATTTATGTAGTTTAATAAGCTTCTAAGACTGTCACTATCATAAGACTTGTCAGCTTCCATTAGCACTTTCAAGGGGTTTTTTTTTGTTTTTAAAATTGCTTTTAGTAACAATGAAATATTTTTACCTAGTATATCTTTTGGCATTTGATGGCCAGTTCAACATGTCTGTGATTGTTTGTTTGCAATTAAATTATTGGAACAGATTTGCTATCTTCCAGACATATTTTTTTCCTGTCTAGACTTTTCCTCCCTTTCTTGATTATACTTTTACTTGGTAAGAAAAATGATCTGTAGTTGCTAATCCTGGAATAAGTTCACAAAAAATAGGTAACAAAAATGATGTTTATCATGCCACCTTAATTCAAGAAATGCAACATGTTCAGAGAAAAATAACTAAGATGGTAAAAGATCTGGAAACCAAACCTTATGAGGAATTGCTGAATATGTTTAGCTTGGATGACAGCCATCATTAAATGTTAGAAGGGATATCATGTAGAACATGGAACAAGTTTTTTTCCTGCTTGTCCAGAGTCATGGATGTGAACCAATGAATTCAAATTATATGAAGGAAGATTTTACATAACCCATAGGCAGACCTTTTTGACAGTAAGAACTGTTACACGATGGAATAGGCTGTGTGGATGGTGAGTCTGCTTCTTCAGAGGTCTTCAAATAGAGTTTTGGTGGCCATCACTCAAATCTTTAGTTGTGTGATAAAAGTTTGGACCAGATTATCCATGTGGTCCCTTTCAACTTGATGAGTGTGCATATTGACTAAATAGCATGAATTTAGCTGACCTGCAGGTTAGCATCTGGGAAGCACTGCTTCTCAAGATCTTCAGGATCTTATAGGCTGCTTATAGATTTCAACTCCTTTGATGCATTCTTGCAACTATTTCTTGAAAAAAAAATAGGTACATGAGCTTCCAATAAGGTGAGGAAAGAGAGTAAAAATAAAATGGAATCACGTCTTTGCACAATGTATTGCCTGAAATATCTCATACTATTGAACTGTATAGAGAGATCTGTTTTGCTGATTGAATTGTTCTGGAGCCAATTGCCACTGAAAATGCTGTTGCTGCTATAAAAGAAAGGCAGGATTTTTTTTACAATTGCCTTCACCATCTGCAGCCCACCAGTACCACCTCCCACGCTGTTCCAGAAGTCCATCAATGCTCTAGAGCAGATTTTCAGAGGACATAAATGGAGTGGAAGAGGGGAAATCAGCACAGCTTTCTCCCTCCCACGAAGTAATGTCTGTAAGGCCTTTTGTGAATTAACTGCACATAAAATTATCTAGACGCAGTTGTCTTTAGCATTTCTTCTGAAATTGATGGTCCTTTTTCAGATCAAACATTTTAAGGCAGGAACAGGAAAATTTTGGCTCTCCAGGTGTTTTGGACCAACTCCCACAATTCCTAAGAGCTAGTATACTGATAGAAATTTTGGGAGTTGTCCAAAACACCTGGAAGGCCAAAGTTTGTCCATGCTTGTTTTGAGAAATTTTGAGGGAAATCTAAGCAATACTATCTACCAAATCTGTGAAATTGCTCGGGTTGGTTCCATTGACTCCTGAGAAACTTTGATTTAGATGAAACATTTGAAGGTTTTTTAAAATAATAGCATGAACTTTGAATTTTCAAAACCAGTAATGACGTGTGGCAACTTTTGCTTCCCATCGCAACTTCAAATTTTTCAATATCATAGTTAATACTGTTGTGTTTGTAATTTTACCTTTTCACTATCTTCTAATAATTATTTGCAATTTTCCCCCAGAGATTCAGATAGACAAGGCAGAGAAAGAAGAGAAAACTGAAAAGAAGCCACCACCAAAGGGTAATTTTAAATATATACAAGAAACTATGTATTACATGTATTGTGGATATGTTTTGTCTGCTTTAAAAATGCATGCAAACTTGTAACCCTCAATCCTACTGATGCTCTCAATTAGAATAGGTCAACTGAATCAATTGTTGAATGATGAATAAGCATGTAAGTAAATTGATGAACCTGTTTGTTCATTTTTGACATTGTTTATTTTTATTAAAGTAGTTGCATCTGTTGCATGTTTTTAAAATTAAAAGATTTCTGAAAAACGGATGCACATTTTCTTAAAGTTATTGTTTTTTAGTATACATTCTAATGAGAAAGTGCAAGTTTTGTAATCAGATCCAAATAAAGTTCTTCTCAATATCTAGCTACCACTGCTTTAGGAATTCCTGCCTCATTTTCATTTTAAAAAAGTTTCCTAGCACCACTCACTCAAAAGAAGAATGAATTGTGATCAATAAAAGCATAACCATCAACTGAAGGCAATGCCTTACATACTGACAGAATCATTTCCATTCATTATTTCAGATATTATCCTTGCAAGTCACTGTGGATCTATTCACGGTGTATGAACAGATCCACATATGTATGTGAGGCATTACATTTTGCTATAAATATGTTGGAATCTGCTTTGAGTCCGTCCCTGGGGTGAGAAAAGCGGTATACAAGTTAAGCAAATAAATAAATAAAAATAAATAAATAAATAAATAATATTGTACATTTAAAATTGCTTTCCTGTGATAACATTGATTTTCTTTCAATAATAGCTTGTTGTTTTGTTTACTTCTTTCCAGAAATCCAGAGAGAAAAGGCTGTAAAAAAAGAGAAAATTGAAAAGAAGCCATCACCTAAGAGTGGGTATTTCTAATTATTTTATTATGGTTAATATCTATATATAAGTAGAAATGTGGAGAGCTGTTTGAAAACAGCTTTGAAAACACAGAGACAACTCGAAGCTGGATAGTACAACTTTATCTATCAAAAGATTATCGGTTGATCTAGCAGTCAGAGGCAACTATTAAGAAATGAAGCTATATAGATACACATGGGGAAACTGCTAATTTCTTTTCACTTGGGAAAGATTTCACACAGAAGCTGCCATTATCACTTTGTTCATAAACCCAATAATTGCTTAGGTTCCTTCTACACTGCTATATAATCCAGATTATCAAATCAGATAATCCAGATGTTCTATTTTGAACTGGATTATGGGTTTACATTGCTATTTAATCAAGTTCAAAGCAGATAATCTGGATTATATATGGCAGTATAGAAGGGGCCTCTGGTTCCTTCCTCTGAAATATAGCCTACAGCGTGTGGTATCTTTTAACAGTCTCTCATCTAAATAAAGAACATGGCTTTTAGGGTATTAAGGCCTATTGCTCAAGTTACCTACTGCCATTAGCAGTAGGGAAATAAAACCCTGACAGTACCATTTGAACTTACAGTAGCTATACTCTTTACTCTGCCATTCACTAGGACTTCTACAGGCGGATCCATTTGCCAGTGGCATCTGCCACTGCCTGTCACTGAGATACTTGATCCTCAATGAGCTCTTGGCACTTGGTCAGAGAGGCCCTGAAAGTTGCAGCGATTGCAATTAAGTCCCTTAACAAAACTTTAAATATGTAGTGTAACAGGCAAACGACTGCTTATGCACTCCATAACAAATCACTACCACAACAAAGTGGTTGCCAGAGGGTCATATTTTGAATTTTTGAACAATTAGTCATTGCTTAGGCAAAATTGAATTTGATCCATATTTGATCATCTATATTGAACATAGCTACCTGGGTGTTACTCCCACGAGTTTCAGTAGAAAATACTTCTGAGCTGACATATAAAGCATTATATTTTAGGTATTTTAACTTTCAGACTGTTGGTGTCTATGTTAATAATTACATGGATTCAATTAAGTTACAGAGTATGAAAATAGAAAGTAAAAAAAAACCCATGATGTATTATGAACACTTTAAGCATGCTGACTTGTACATTTATTATTTATTTATTTACTTTATTTGTATACCGCTCTTCTCAGCCCTTAGGCGACTCAGAGCGGTTTACAACAGTTTAGATATACAGGATACAAAATCATTATGCATTTAAAAAACAAAAGCATCACAAGTCATTAACATCATTAACATCATTAACATAAGCATCAAACAACAATACATCAATATAACAAATCTATCCGGTCTAGTCGGTGAAATCAGAATCCAAAACTCGTTATCCATTATTCCGTGTTCCAATAATCAGTTAATCAATCACACTGCTTAGTCGAAAGCCTGTTCAAACATCCAGGTCTTTACTTTCCTCCAGAATACCAGCAAGGAGGGGGCCGATCTAATATCTGCGGGAAGGGCGTTCCACAGCCAAGGGGCCACCACTGAGAAGGCCCTGTCTCTCGTCCCCGCCAGGCGTGCTTGTGAGGCCGGCGGGATCGAGAGCAGGGCCTCCCCGGATGATCTTAATGTCCTAACTGGTTCGTAGGAGGAGATGCGTTCGGACAGGTAGGTCGGGCCAGAACCGTTTAGGGCTTTAAAGGCTAAAGCCAGCACTTTGAATTGTGCCCGGTAGCAAATTGGCAGCCAGTGGAGCTGGCGCAGCAGAGGAGTGGTATGCTCCCTGAGAGCCGCCCGTTAGCAACTTGGCTGACGATCGTTGGACCATTTGAAGCTTCTGAGCAGTCTTCAGAGGCAACCCCACGTAGAGAGCGTTGCAGTAGTCTAAATGGGATGTGACTATAGCATGGACTACCGTGGCCAAGTCAGGCTTCCCAAGGTACGGGCACAGCTGCCGCACTAGTTTTAATTGTGCAAATGCTCCCCTGGTCACCGCTGAGACCTGGGGTTCCAGGCTCAGTGACGAATCCAAGATCACACCCAAGCTGCGTGAACCTGTGTCTTCAGGGGGAGTGTGATCCCGTCCAACACAGGTTGTAACCCTATACCCTGTTCGGCCTTGCGACTGACCAGGAGTACCGTTGTCTTGTCTGGATTCAATTTCAATTTGTTCGCCCTCATCCAGACCGCCACAGCAACCAAGCACCGGTTCAGGACCTGAACAGCCTCCTTAGTAGTAGGTGGAAAGGAGTGACAGAGTTGGACATCATCTGCATACATTATTTACATATAAGCTACATATTAACTGCATTAAAAATAATTGATCTACTTGGCCCTCTATATACATAGATTTTGCATTCAAAGATTCTACAGTTTGAAGATATTTTGCCTTCCCCCTCCTCCTGGTCATTTTATATAAGGGGTTTTTGGAGCTCCATGAGCCCAGAAAACCAAGAGGGCACACAAAACCCACAAAATGACATGCTAGGAAGAGGGGTGAGGAGTGATTTTACTCCTCCCCCCTCCCCCTATCTCCTGGAGCATCATTTCTAGACACCAGGAGGACTCCAGCAGTACTTTAATGGCAGCCAGGTAAGTTGTTTTAATTTTAATGGGCTTATTTTGGGGGAGGGTCTGGGTGCCCTCCCTGAAGTTGCTGGGAGGGCATTTAGACACCTTCCCAAGAAAGTGCAGGTTTTGGGGAGAGATGTGGGCATTTAAACGCAAGCTGAAGTGAGTTTCTTAAATTCGGCGTGCATTCAAATGAAGTCTGAAAGTACCCTAAACTATGTGAAAGCCATTTGGTTATTGGGGAGGTGCTATCAAAGCAAGTATACTGTTGAGGGCCAGATGTCACTACATTGAACATCTCCTCATCACCTAAGGTGAATCACCTGATCCTGAGTGCTTGCCTAACTTACCTGGGTTGCACTCTGGCACGATCCTGCCAGAAGGCCATTCTGAGACTTTACCTCCCCTGTGCCAAACAACTTTGGAGAAGGAGACAGCCACCCATTTGAGCCTCAAGGTTTAACCTCCTTTCTAGCTCCCTAGACTATATAATCTTGAGGAACCAAACAAACTGCTACAGTTTATTTATTTATTTATTTATTTATTTATTTATTTATTTATTTACTGTGCTTATATACCGCAATTCTCAGCCCAAGGGCAACTCATTGCGGTGTACAACATGAAAAAACAAGTGCAAATTACAAAACATAGTGCAAAATAATCCACAATTCATCATTATCAGAAAAACATCTTATCAAAAACATCAACATTACTACAAAATTTCTACTACATTCCGAATCGTCTCATCGTCAACCCACAATCCGATATCATTTCCGTTGTTTCATTCCTATGGTCAAATTACCAGTCATTGCACTTCTTGGTCAAATGCCTTCTTAAATAGCCAGGTCTTTAACTTCCTCCCTGTTCCTGCGGAACAGGGAGGGGGCTAGCCTGATGTCCATGGGAAGGACATCAGTTCCCCTCAAGTTTTGCAATAACAAATGTCTAAAAGACACCACCCTCCGAAATACCATATTCCCATCAGTGACAATATGGGGTAAGCAACCCCCCCCCCCCCAATTAACGTATTTCTTTTTTAGGAGGAAGGATTCCTACTGGGCTCCTGAGGTAATTAGCCTAATGTTCATATTGAACCAAGGTTCAGGTAGGGGGCTGCTTGATGAAACAAAGAGGTTCAAGTGAGGGAGTGGCTGCCTGAAATAGCCTAAGCTATGTCCCTCATGCAGGCTGAGGCTGACACCACACCAGCCTTGTGAAAACAGGGCTGGCCTCCACCATGTAGGATTCAATAGGGGCTCTCCCCCCACCCCTGAGTAGTCTCTTTGCCTTGCTGTCAGGTAGTCTTAGGGCTTTAAATACCATTAACAGCAACTTGAATTTAAACTGGTCCAGTGTGATCCTTTAAAAGCAGTGTCATGTGGTTTCTGGAGGGAAGATGTTTCTGTCAGCAATCTCACCTCTGTGTATTGCAAATAGCTGAAACATCTGAGTCATCTTAAGGGCCACATAGAACAAATTCCAGTAATCTGAGAGATGGGGTGGGGTGTTACCAGTGCATGAGTGACTTTGGCCAGTTTATCTTTCCTAATATTTCCCAGGCAATTGACCTAGTACACTAACTGCAAAAGTATATTTTTCAATGACATTTACAACTTACTGAATTCATTGTTGAAGTTTGCTTATATTGTCCAAAAGGTAGCAATACATAGCACAGAATCTCTTGAGTGCACTAAATCAGCTGGCTAACCAGATGGGAACATGGATAACTTTAGACTGTGTTGGCATGATAAACAAATATCCTTTTCTACCTCCAAATATAGGATGAGGGAATGTGCTAATTAGTCTGCCAGCCCTGCTGTGTGTGTTTTGGCATCCTACTCACAGCACAATATGTTAATTTCAGACTCCACGACAAAGTGACCACCACTTCGTCATGACAGGAAAGAACGGTGGCTTACGGCTATATGCTTATCTAGAAATGGCAGGTACTGCCAAAATAGAATGAACAAACATTTCTAATCTCTTTTTGGTCAGAATGCATATTTGTAAGCCATGGAAATGTGTCAAGATATAGGCATAACTATAAGATAAGGCATTACTTTGTTTGATTCTGCCCATATATCTCTTGCTGCTCTTTGATTTTAAACTAGATCATTGTGCTGGATTTTATTGCACTTTAATAGGGTTCTAAGCTGTATAAGTGGCTTCATTTATTTAAAAAACCCTCTAAAGCACAAGAAACAAAATTACCAGCAAAGTACACTAAAATGCCATGTGCCGTTTCAAAGGCTAGACAATTTATTTTAGCATGAATTTTTATCAGAATTGTCTATGGGGCCAGGACCTTGTGTGAAATAGATTCCAAAGTATCCAGGTGTGATACAGCTGAACCAAAATAACCTCTACCAGAAATGTTCATTCTAGTTTGCAGAAGGTAATCTAGGAGGGCCTTTAGCAACAGTGGAGGGCTGTGTTTGTGAGGTTCTGACACCAGCAGCTTTAAAAAAAAATGGAAAAAATTTAAACATGCTATGGACACATTTACATGGGCCAAATGAGTCATCCAGGATGTGAATATGGCACATGAGGTCTGTTTGTGTTAACATGGCCTCCAGGGAAGGTCCAGATATTCCACAAAGCTTTGGAATGTGCCTGCATTTTCAGTCATGCCACTTCCTATTCAGCTGAAGCTGTTAACACTGCCACCCTGCTTTCCCCAGTTTGAGGACATGAGATGGAACCAATGTTGTCCCATCATGCCCTCCGGCCTGCTTAGCACCTATAGTGATGCTAGTTGGAGCAATGAGGTGAAGGAAATGCCAAAAGGAGAATGCCAAGCAATGATCAGCACTTTTTTGGTGCCAAGTGGGCACCGCAAAGCACAGTATAATGGGGGCAAGGTGGCATCAATGGTTCTGGTGCCATTGGGCAGTGTGAACACCATCCAGCAACTTGGGGACATGCAGTGTGGACACGCTGATCTGAAGTACTCACTCCACATCAGAATATCTATTTCTGATATGTGCCAATGCCCCATAGGTCCTTCCTCTATTGCAATGTCCCTTTCTTCCTAAGAAATGGCTTTGAATATCCTTCTTCTTCCTGTGTCTGGATTCAGCTGATCCACCATCCATTGCAAATGGATCAAAACCTGAAATGGACCAAAGGTAGACAATGAGGCCCAAAATTAGTAGTGCTAGCTTGACCTTTCAGGATTCCAAAAATTCAATCCAGATTTGAAGGGATTGTCATAAAAAAAAGAAGCAAGTCTACTTCCTTTCCATTTTAATTTAGGTGTAGTGGAAGGGGTGGGTAGGTTCAAAGTTTACTACTGTCCCCCCCCCCCCCCCCAACACTGACATAACATAACTCCAGATAGAGCTAAGCATTATTAGAAGAGCTGGGAGGTGCTTCAGGGAAATTGACATTCCTGACTCACATTAGAAATCAAAGAGAGACTGGAAATACAGTTCAGTTTCCCCACCTGTATAGTATTTTCTATAATTGCCCAACCTGTATTACAATTGCTACTGTAGAAAGGAATCATGCTAACATTTGAGAAAGTGCATTATTTTTTTTATGAAGGACTCATACCTGATGGCCTTACAGTACCCTCTGCTGTGGGGAGCAATTTCTCACATATGGTAGTTTCTGAAGACTTTATGAGCCTTTTAAGTAAAAACATGGGTTCTAGCAGTGTAAGCCAGCAGCTGTCTGTGGGTGTTTATTCTGTATGAGGAAATCAGGCCATGAGGTATCAGTATTTAAAAATGCAATTCCTTCTGAATATGCAGGCTTACGAAGAGAACTCTCCATTGCTATTTCATCTTCACACAACTGAACTAGTTCCCCCCTCCCCGATATATATATTTTAAAATATTTTTTATTAAGAATAGAAAGTTACTCTGTTAAGGACTGAGAGTAGTTTCCCAGCTGGGTAAAGAAAACATTTTTCTTATGTAATATGAAAAATTAGATGATGCGAAGTAGGTCAGACTTATAGAATAAACAGCTGCAGTGTAGAAACATGATTCCATTTCATGTATCATGAGCAGAATGGTCACATGGGAAAAGGAGGCAAAATCAGTCCTTCCATGCTTTCTATGACCAAAAGTTTATTCTTTGAATGTGATGTTTTAAAATGAGTTATTATTATTATTATTATTATTATTATTATTATTAATTTTATTTTAGGTATTTTTATACTGCCCTTCCCAACCCTGAAGGGACTTGGGGCAGTTCACAGTGCTGGCAACAATTTAATGCTATTGATAAAAACAGTATAAAACATCAAAATTGACCCTCCCCTGATAAAACATTAAACATTATTAAACACATTGCATAAAATAACATCACATATCACACAAAGACATAGCTGTTGTCTGTAAACATTTCTACAATGTCAGATTTCTGTACAACTGATAAATTCTGATTGGTGAGTCCTGATTGGGCGAAGCATGCATATACAGTACAACCCCCCTCAATATCTGCAGTTTCATCCTCACTACAAAACATATTTGCTCATGGAAGAATTTGCGAGCTTCTCTAGGTCCTCCAATGCTATTTTATATCATGCTTTTGGCCCAATTATAGTCAGAATATAGGATATGCTACTATCCACAATTTCAGGTATCCATGGGGGTGGGAGAATTTTGAACATGTCCCTTGCAGGTAAAGGGGTGCAATATACCATTCAACCAAGTGGACACCCATAGGTAACGGGTTAGCTAGTTTATAGAAGTGTTTCTACCTGTTTTGACCCTCAGTAGCCAAAGAGATTCCTAACCAGAAACAGCCATAGCTGTATTGACTGAAATCTCACATTCCTGGGCTCAGGCAGCTGAGGGACAAGGGATGGCAGTATTCTGTCATGCCCCCCCCCCCCCAATCTGTGTCATGGTTGTTGAAAAACCACATCTACTTTGTTCTTTGGCACTCTGACTGCGGTCAGACAGAGTACTGGAGGGTGTTTCTCTTCTCCCAGATTGTAGGCACTCTGGCTGATGGCACCCTGAGCACTAAAGACAAGGTAAGTGTACTGTTGCTTCTGGTGGCTTATAGAGTGATTGTCCAGTGGTACTGAACCAGGTTTGGCATGGCTGGGTAGTCAGGACTCCCTACTGCCCCTAAGGTGGCTCAGGGAATCACTGTCTGGCAGCCATGCAGGGATGATCTCCAGAATCAGCTTGACATTAGAAATCAGTGCAAAAGGGCCTAGTGTAGAGTTCATTAACTATATTACTGATGCCAAGCTTCAGAATATTAGTTCAAAATTTATATCATTTCTATAAAGAATAGGTATTTTAGTGTTTCAATGATGGCATGAACAAGTTTCTCTTGATGTTTGTAGCAATTCTCAAAGAGAAACCTGAAAAAATAGAGAAACCTGAGAAGCCTGAGAAAGTGAAGAAACTTGAAAAACCTGAGAAAGTCAAGAAACCTGAAAAACCAGAGAAACTGGAAAAAACAGAAAAAAGGGAAGTCCCTAAAGGTAAGTGATAATGGGAAGGTATAGTCTTAGTAAGCAAGTGTCTTTCTTATTTGCCTCTTAAACCATTGTTTATATATTTACAGAAGATTTTTAGTGCTGGTAGAGTACCACTAAGGGTTATTTTGTACCCATAAATAAATAAACACACTAATGGATGGCCAGATCATATTTTCTTCTGTTTTATTTAAATATGTGTTGGAGATGCCAATCCAAGTTAGAAAACTGAATGTGACCTATATCAATTCCCCATGGCTGAAATCCTGCTGGTACCAATGGGAAGTGGATGCATCCTTTCTTTAATATTACATATATTTATGATCTCCTGTTTACACATACATCATGTATATCTGATACACACAGGTTTTCATCATATCTAGAGATATGACCAAAAAACACTGGATATCACACCAAGTTCTACTTCAGAGCTGAGATAGTCTCTAGGAGCAGATACCATATCCTTTGTACATGCGCAACAAGCTATGCCACACTGCAGCGTTGCAGCCAAAAGTGTCATCCTGTCTCTTCCAGGCCCCTTCCAGACATGGCAGAAACCCAGCAGTAAGCAGGTGAAAATACCCTGCTTCCTGCCGGGTTTCTGTTCCCACCCTCATCCCAAACCTATGGCTTTCCCTTGAGGGGTGCCTAGATGCCATCCTGGGTAATCAAAGTTTGACCAGGATGGCATCCAGCCTCCCCTCCAGGTCACCATTTCCCATTTTTAAAAAAACTTTACCGGAGAAACCCTTTTGCACAGTACTCCTGACATGCAAATTGATGTGATGAGGGCGGAGGAGGGAAATCCCTCCTCTCTCCCCCACCTCCTGATGTGCCACTTTTGTGTATCAGGAGGACTGAACAGAGGGAGGATATGGGATGCTGGAGAGGAAGGGCTGGTCATCCTCTTGCTTCTTCGGGCTCCAGGATACTGAAGAACTGAGATGGCTGTGGGGATGAACCCTCAGGACTGCAGAAGCCAATCCCCACAGGCCCAACCCCTGTTGGGATAGACTACTGGGTAGTCCTGGGATGGCCCAGGGGCCTGTCCACACACCCATCTCACACCTTCTGGACTCCTGGATCCCAAAGATGCAAAATGGTGCCCATCCCCTTATAACCCCCCTCCCCCAGCCCTAAAAAATGGTTAAGAACTTACCGGGCCACCATTGGGCTTTGCAGCACACTTCCTGGAATGTACAAATTATGCAATAGAAAGCAAGGGGAAATCACTCCTGCCCCCCCCCCCCCCGGGTCTCCTTGTACATAATTGATACATTTCAGGAAGTGAGCTGCAATGACTAATGGTGGCCCGGTAAGTCTTTAACCATTTTAGGGCTTTTTGGTGTTGCAACTCAGGGTAGTTTTCACCTTGCTCAATACACCAGCACACACCACAGCTGCAGTTTTGTAGTTTATTGAAAAAAAGCAAAATCAAAACAGAGAAATAAAGATGCAAAAGTTCAATGCGCAAAACAGAGTCTTAAATGCAAAGGCAAGGTTCCCAAGATCCACAGGCAAATAACATGAAGCATAATCCCTTAGCAATGGTCAAACAAGAGTCCATGGCAAACAGGTAAAAATCAGGATCAGAATCCCAGTCTCCCAGAAGCCAGAAGCGTTCCGCAAAAGCCAAGGCAATTCCACAGAAGTTAACGGGTAAGAAGCAACATTGGACTGACAAGAAATGCCTGTCAGCAACATCATTAAATAAGCTTCCCTGACATGAAAACATTGCGTTGACCTTTGGCTTCTGTGAACCCTTAATTGCAAACGGTCCTGTCTGCTCATTAAATCACCATTATCTTCAAGGCTATACAATTCCTTATCTCGGCCTAGCTGGGCCGGATCACTCTGGGAACCAAAAGGAGTCTCCACCTGCACTTGTGGGATTTCATTGTCTCTGTTTAAAGGCACATTCCTTTCCCCAGGGAACAGGCTTGCTGTTTCTTCTTCAGAAGGCACACTATCAGCCCCGTCTGGAGCATGTACAGGAATCTGCAACCCATCAGCCTCCTCCTCATCCTGCAGAAAGTCAGGCTCAGGCTCAGAAGGCCCAGGCTCGGAAGGCCCAGGCCCAGAAGACCCAAACAGTTCAGTTTCAGACTCAGACTCAGACTGAGCCACAACATTTGGGTGGCTTTGGGGGGTGGGGTGGCTGGATACCACACTGGTAGTTACCAGGATGGTATGTAGCCACCTCACTGGGAAAGCCTGTTTTTTTAAAAGGGGATGTGAGGACTTTAACCCGTGCTGAAGCAGGCTTTTTAAAACCTCTTTGACACGGGCTATAGTTAATAACTGGGGCGACCTACAGGGAGCGGTCAACCCCCCCTGCTTAAGGAGCTCCACTGGCTGCCATTTATTTTCTGGTCCCAATTCAAGGTGCAGGTTATCACCTATAAAGCCCTAAATGGTTTGGGACCTGCCTTTGTGACCGTATCTCCCACCATGAACCATCTCAGGCCCTCCAATCTTCCGGGGAGACCCTTCTCTCACCTCTGCCAGTTTCTCAAGCTTGCCTAGTGAGTACAAGGGAGAGAGCCTTTTCCGCTGTGGCTCCCTGACTCTGGAACTCACTGCCTGGAGAAAATAGGAAAGCCCCTGCCCTAGAAATCTTCAAAAAGAACCTTAAAACCTGGCTCTTTCACTGCACCTTTGATGAGTAGATATGATTGCTCAACCTTAAAGCTTTGTCATTGGAGTATACGTCCCCTCCCCCTCATGGGAAAGCTTGATTCCACAACTCCCACTAAAATGAGCCCTCCTCCGTAAATTACCTGCTTCTCTCTTTTATCTCACCCAAATTTTAATTAGTTTTAATTACTTTGTCTTTTAATCACTACATGTAGCCCGCCCATTATTACTGTGCCTGTGCATATTGTAATTTGTATATTGTTATGTATTCATTGGTTTTATGTAACTATGATGTTACTGTTTATTGTTTGTGTTTTTGGTTTGTGTTTTTGGTTTTTCTTTATTGTAATTGTTATTTGGGCTTGGCCTTGTGTAAGCCACTCCGAGTTCCCATCGGGGAGATGATGGCGGGGTATAAATAAAGATTATTATTATTATTATTATTATTATTATTATTATTATTATTATTCTGTCTGGAAGAGACCTTAGACTCACCATAAATGTGCCTTCAATTCAGAAATGAATTGAATGCACACAACAACAAATAAGTAGCAATTAGAGAAATATGCAGCTTCAAGAATGAGTGGTGGGGTGTTCTTGTCTTTACTTTCTGCTCTCAGCCCTCCTCATGCATTTATAAAGGAGATTTAGGGTGATTTATTCTAAGCAATAGTAAGTCATAGCTGAAGGGAATATTTTTAAAAATGCATTCTAACACAGACAAAATGTTGTATGGCAAATGTCATTGTATGAGGGTTGAGAAAATTAAATTTCTTTATAAGACTATCCTTAAGGAAAAAGTATCTGGTTTGAATTTCAAGTCTAGCAAAGACTCAATGGAAAGGTATAAAACAATAAGAAGAATAGATTCAGAAGGTGAATAACTTCCCAGTAAATGTCTATCAGTTGATTTGATAAAACAAAAGAGAGCTCACATTTTGGCATGTTTCCCATAGTCAGTATACTATTAAGCAAATTTCGGCATGGGGCAATCATGCTTGCTATATGTATTGTTGAAAAGATCTCACAACCTTTGAGGATGCCTACCACAAATGCAGGTGAAAGTCAGGAGAGAATGCTTTGAGAAGATGGCCATACAGCCCAAAAAACCTACAACAACCCAGTGCCTGCTATGCTTTTCCTTCCCAGAGAGGTCAACACATGTTGAAAAGGCTGATTATTTTTGGCAGAATTTTTTGACATTAACTACTATTAACTTAAAATCCTGGCCTCCAGAAAACCCTCCCCACTGAGAAAACAGCATGGTGTTTTCCCACCACCATGACATAGTACAGAAGACTGTTCATTAAGGATAACACTTATTGACAATATAAGCTACTTTCCTGAATCAAGATCTGATTGAAATTGATTGAAGTCATCTCAGAATAAGTTGGCCACTGTGCTGCCTTTTCTTTTCATTGCATTTGCCTCATAGATATAGAAGGCATTTATCTCCTGCCCCAAACATATAGCCTTCCTCAGCGAGCAGGAAAAATAAATCTTTCATTTATAGACAAGATTTTGAAACAAATAGAGACAGTCATTGCAACTATGTAAAGAATGTTCACAGATTTTCTCATCCTTGATGTGAAATGATATCATGACTCATTGAGATGCATCACTGGATTGCTTTAAACATTTTCTAAATCAGAACTTTTTGCAAAAGAATGTTTCAGTAAAAACATTGCCTGACATCCTGTTAGTCATAAGTCTGTTGTATGACATTGCAACACAGTTTTTGCATCATAATGTAAGTCAAAAATCTAACACAGTTACCAAAAGACCAATGGTCAAAAGTCCCACCTTCTCTTACCTTACCTGGTAAGCCATGGTAACCCAACGTAACTATTTCTGAGTTGCCAGAGTGTGGGGGATTGGCAATGACACAGTTTATTTTCCTTTAGCTTTAAGTACTATGCGAATATCATATGCCAGTGCTTCTTTCAACATATCCAGAAAAAGGAAAATAGCTAAATGTGTCACTGGTCTCCAACAAGCTAGAAATACTCATGCTGAGATATGCGTTAGGGATCTACAGCTTGCAGAGTAAAATTGTGGGATAGCATTTGGTAGATATCTCTATTGATATAAAAATGAGACTTCCATATGTTTTGATGCAGGAACTTGACCATTGTGTGTGTTTATTTGTGCAAAAATGCTTTTATTCAGAAAACTATTTTTCACACAAAAGGCTGCTTTTTGTACCAAATAGAAATGTCTCTGGAAGCTCCTAAAATATGAAAAAATGTGCAAAACCACTAATTCAGTGAAAGTAAAATGGCTGGAATACTACATATACCATAATGAAATATGTTAAATATACATTGCTAAGTGATGTACATACAAGTATAAATGCTAAGTGGCATATGCAATTATGCTAAATATAGATTTTTCCTCATTTATCTCTTGTCATTAATGAGTTGCACCCAGATGTAAGCATATCATTCAGATTATGGAAGAAGAATTCATTGCCTCTTTTGCTGCCTTTGACTGTCTGGAATTAGTACATAAAGGGCTGTGGACCCTGTTGAATGGAGTAGGATTTGGCACAGAAAATGAGGACTCCCTCCTTACCCCTGGAATAAAGGAATTTTATCTCAGTGGAACCCTTCTGTGTATCTTGAGGTCCACTCCATTGACCTGAGTGGCTTATGTATGGTTACTTAAATCTTTTGGATATTGGTGTTCTTCCATAGCAATCCATAAAAGTCCTAGTCAACAAAACGTTCAGCTTTTGCTTTACACATAAACTTAAAAAGGAATCAACTCTTTGGCAGTTTAGATAGGTTTCCCTCTTTTGCAGAGATGTGAAGAATGTTTATGAAATTTCCATCTCTAGACCAGAAAGGGTGCTTTGATATGTCATCCCACAACTTTTCCACCACTAAATGACAACAAAACAACAAGTATGTATGTGATGGGTTTTATTCAAAAAAAGTTTGCTTGTTACAGAAACTGACTTATGGAAAGAGTCGGTGGGTTTTTTTGGGGGGGGGGGGTTGATAGATGAAGTGTTTTTCATCATTCCTAAATTTTAAAAAAGTAATTAAAATGAGCAAAATCTGTTGAAACGGTTGAAAAGCTTTGAAAATATTAATTCTTGTCACATGTTTCAAATGGCTGGCATGCTTATTCCATAGTGGAATAGACTGCCCAGTGTTTTTGTTAAACTGGAGATTGCATTTAATATGTATGTCCTTTTCCCCCCATCTATTTCAAGATAATTTCTGAAAAGATTAGCAGCAATAGGGGATGAGGGGGGGGGGCATATGAAGCCTTTCCCAATACATTATACTCTTCAACAAGATTGGTTTGTGACCACAGCTGCTATTAGCCATGTGCCTTGGGTCCATTCACTTCAATGGAAGCTTTCATCCTATATCCTTTCATCCTTTATAAAGACCAAGGTGTTGCATTTGTTCTGGCTGTTAGGCAGTTTCTGCTGGAATTCTTAATTCCCTCATCTGCCATGGATATTTTGTGGTTCTATGGTTATATACATTTTTTTAAAAAAATTAAATTTTCTGTGGTTATAATTCATGAAATAAAACTGACAGTTGGCAGCCCTTTTTTGTCAGTAAAATGTTTATGACAACCCCATGCATTGTCAAGACAGTTTGTTCTAAATGGCAAACAAAAGTAATTAGATTTCCCTATATTTATATTTTTAAAGGAAAAAAAATCACCAGGTAGGGTCAGTTGTTGCACAATTTTCATTATAGTATGACTCCTCCCTTTTCCTTTATCTGTGAGGAAGCCTATTTAAATGATGGATATCTGACCCAAAAATAACACAGTCATACTGGAGGACCTAGAAAATGTCTAGAAATGACATACTGTGGATAAAGGAAACTGCAGATAGAGGTCATACAGACATTGTCTGTACTGTCATTATAATGGAATCATATACAAGAGCCACCCAAATGAATAGATAGATACCTGCAGGGGTGCTGATAGAATGAAACATGTTTTGACAGATATATATGAAATGTGTTGGATGTATTCCCTGGCGATTCTGAGAGTTAATATAAAATGAAACATCCCAAAGTGGAAGTCCCATGTTGCATTCCTGACAATAGTGGGCACACATTTTTTTAATATCATTCTTCAAATTGCTTATTTTCTTGTAGTGGTACACAAAGAAAAGCCGGAGCGACACGAAAAACCTGAAAAGAGAGAAAAGCCTGAAAAGAAAAGCAAGCCTGAACAGAAAGAAAAATTAGAAAAGAAAGAAAAAGGTAAATATAACCAAATTTTCAGTCAGATTCAAATCCTCTTTCAGAGTTCACCAGGTTGTCTTGGACTATCACTCATTCTATTGAGTTCTTGTGAAGATGAAAAAGATCAATGTATTCAGCAGAATGAAGCATGTTAGTGCTTTGAGGAACAGACTTATTTAGATCAGACAAATTAAGATGATGATGATGATGCTTTATTTGGTAACTGTTTTCACAACTCAAGATTCAAAATATCAGTAAAGATACTTGGAATCATGTCTGACTTGAAGACAAATGTCTCCTGCATCAAACATATAGCCATGATGTCATAATTATGCTTTAACTCCAACTCCACACTCTGAACCCAACCTTAAAAGCCAATCACCTGTCCAGAGAAATTTGGATTTGTGTTGCTGCTAAGCAAGGCACCCCAAGAGCACAGTGACCTCCCAGCACAATATTACAGTGATAATGTAATGAAGACTTGTGATGGGTCATCTCAAGGTGCCCCTACTTTTGTGTCATCAGCTAGTGAGAGAAACTACTCACACCACTCTATAGTAGTAGTGTTCAATCTTTGATCTCCCAAGTATTTTATACAAATACATAAAGAATACAAAAAGGGGGGAGGGGGGAGGTAAGGGAAACAAGGGAAGCATGACTGTAGGAAAGGGGTAGGTGTTTGTCTGTACCTGGAAAAACAGCTGTGAGAAAACCTTTTTTCCAAAAAGTTTTCTGAACATCATATAGTGGTTGTTTTAGACATGTACATTATGCGATGTTTACAGTAAATGCTACAGAAGATGCTTCAGTTGTACTTCTTAAAAAAGGAAAATCTGCCTGTTTAGCAAACCTTACAAATGCTGAGGTGTTATCATTGAATGTTTGATTTCTATACCTATTTTATATTACATATCCAGAGTCACATAAAAATTTGACCAAAAGGCATTCCAAGTGGAAAATTTTTAGAAGCCCTTATTTAGAGTATACCTGACAACTAGCAAAGGTGATTATCCAGCTTTGAATCTTGGGGAAGGTTTATTTGATAACGAAAATGCTGGTGAAGGACACTGTGAAGTAGTGGTTAGAAGTATAATGAGAATGGAAAAATCTGATGAATATCAGGAAGGAAGGAGAGCAGAGAAAGCAGAAGGCAGTGAAACCAGGAAGTGACATAGCTAAGTTTCCTTTGTCTCTTGTTGCATTTCCATGGCACTATAATGTGAGAAAATTCTGTGAAAAATATATAGCCATATAAACTCAGACAGTTATCCAATTATATATTTCTCACTTTATGACCTTCATGCAAACTTACGAGCCTGAGTATATTTTTAAATAACAAAATACCAGACTGTACATTTATTAAATATGTAATTGGAAGCTAGTCTGGTTTCCTGTTTGTTTGAGATGCTAGTCTCTTTTGCAGGTCAACCCTTTGGGTCATCTCTTGCATGACAGATTAAAATAAAGCAAAATCCTGGAGATAGAATTATCTTCTAAGTGATAATGATATTTTAGCTCATCACTTTTTTTGCTCTCCTTGGAATGTGGGACACACCACAGCATGATAAACTGTGGTGTTTTCACAAGGCATCACTTCCTTCATCACCAGTTTGGAAGGAAGACAGGATCAACCAGTGGTAGTTGTGGTGGTGGTGATGATAATGATGATATAAAAGGTTCCATTCTATTAAGGTCTTTGAGAATCCCTGTGTACAAAGAAGCAGATTCATTTATAAATGAGATCTAGAGATGAGACCACAAAACTGTTTCAGGGAACTATTTAGAAGGGGTCTTGTGCCTTCAGATCTTTTGCACTACAAGTCTCACCATGCCAAAGCTGAAGCCAAATGATAGTAAAGTAAGCCCAAATGGGGTAGTGGGAGGAGGAGAGAGAAATTGGAGCGTTTTAACAGCAATGGATAAAGTGGGATGCCCCAAAATTAATCAGAACTGTTCAGAAAATATGCAATTGTTCACTAATTTAGACGCTTTGTATTCAGGTGAAAAGATATAGAGGGTGACCTCCACTGTTTTCAGATTTTTAAATGTACATGTGCAAAACTTAAATTTTCATCTAGTTTCAAGTTTTAAAAAAATTGGAGCGCAGTGAGGTGAAAAAAATTGGAACATTACCTTTAATTAAGTAAGATAATGAGCCAGCATGACTGCAACAGAGTCAATAGACAGAAAAAGACCAATTAAATTAGTTATTACCTAATTGTTTGTAGATAATGTTGTGCTAACTGTTAACTGTATAATTCTTTAGGGATTTGAATAATAAATCACAAGTTTTCAAGGCAGATGCACACTGTCAATCATTTTTAGACAGATGACAACACATACATACACTAAACTAGTTCAGGAGGTATAAACATTTTGATTTCCTATGGAAAATATTAAAATATATTATTAAAATGCATTGTTTAAGAAAGGCACAATGCACTGAAAATGTTTCCTGCGTGCATCCTATTAGAATGAACAGGAAATGGGACAGAATATGACCTTTGAACTTTGGCTCTTCATTTGGAAAATGGAATTTCTTCCCATGATTCTTGCAAAGATTCCCCAGCAAGGAAAATATTCCCTTTCCAAAGACTTTAAATATAAATAATGCATTCAGCAATGGAGATTATAAATCAAGCAATACACAATAATAAACAAGCTCCCACTCTATATTCACATTAAATTTTATATGTATGATTTCAGTAGTAATTTTAATCATTTTGAACTGCATCCACATTTGCAGAAGACACCTAAAGCATATTTGTTGTTGCTGTTACGTGTCTTCAAGTTATATCTGATCTATGATGACCTTAAGGTGAAACTATCACAATATTTTCTTGGCAAGATTTGTTCTGAGCAAGGCTTTGTACCCTGGTCTTCAGAGTCATGGTACAATGCTTAAATCACCATACCTCACTAGTTCCAGCATATCCAAGTAACAGTTTCCATATCCTCCTTTCTCCAAAAATGTATTCTGAAGGATCCCTAATTTGAATCAGATCTGTAAAATTTTCTTTGGGAAGAAGGGGGTAACGCTAGTGGACACAATTATATTAGTAGAACACTATTTATTTATTTATTTATTTATTTATTTATTTATTTATTTATTTATCGTGTCAGGAGCACCAGACAGTTGTATTAGATTTTTAACAAAACAAACAAACAGACAAAACACAACATTTGAAAGCTTGGTAGTTGATTAAATGTCATTTGACCAGTATTTGGCCACTTGGAGTGCCTCTGGTGTTGCCGCAAGGAGGTCCTCCATTGTGCATGTGGCAGGGCTTAGGTTGCATTGCAGCAGGTGGTCAGTGGTTTGCTCTTCTCCACACAACATGTCGTGGATTCCACTTTGTAGCCCCATTTCTTAAGATTGGCTCTGCATCTCGTGGTGCCAGAGTGCAGTCTGTTCAGCGCCTTCCAGCTCGCCCAGTTTTCTGCGTGTCCAGGAGGAAGCCTCTCATTTGGTATCAGCCATTGATTGAGGTTCTGGGTTTGAGCCTGCCACTTTTGGACTCTCGCTTGCTGGGGTGTTCCAGCGAGTGTCTCTGTAGATCTTAGAAAAATATTTCTTGATTTAAGTCATTGATGTGCTGGCTGATACCCAAACAGGGGATGAGCTGGAGATGTCACTGCCTTGGTCCTTTCACTATTGGCTGCTACTTCCCGGCGGATGTCAGGTGGTGCAATACTGGCTAGACAGTGTAATTTCTCCAGTGGTATAACGTGCAGATACTAGGCCTGGGCGGTTTCGTTCGTTAATTTTGTAATTCGTTAAATATTCGTTAATTTTAGCAATTACAAAACGATTACAAAACTTATTTTTAAACCCGGAAGTGTTTTTAAATATCGAAACGGCAGGCGCCAAAAAATTTTGTATTTCCGTCCATTTCGGAAATACGTAAGATGGCCTGGCGATGCTTGCTGGGAGCTCCGGGAGCCAATCAAGTAAGCCGTTGCGGAACACTTTATTTTGCCAGGGGCGCTGAGAGCGAGGGACGCGGGAAGCTATCAGAGGCCAGAGGGACCCTGCTGCTGGTGGTATCGTCGAAGCCTGCTGCTCCTCCTCCTCCCATCCTCCTCCTTCTCCGCCTCCAGCAGCAGCAGCAGCAGCAGCAGTAGCAGCAGGGTCCCTCTTCCTCCCCGCCCCCACCGAGCGGCGCAGCCTGCTGCTCTTGCCCTGGCTGCTCTTGCCCCGCCCCTGTGGATGGCCCCTTCCACTGCCGGCGCGCCCTGTCACTCCAGGCTTGACAGGGAGCCAGGGGTGGGCCACCACCCCGCCAGTCTCCCTGGTCATGGGGCCTTCCGTTCCTCCCCCCCAATCCTCCGACCCTTTCTCTTCCTCCTCCTCCTCAGGCCGCGCCGCTCGGAGATGCCGAGGGCGAGGGGGGAGGAAGAGGAGGAGGAGCGGCAGGCCCGGTTATCAGGGAGACTGGTGGGGTGGTGGCCAGCTGAGCTGTCCCTGCCCCCGGCTCCATCTCAAGCTTGGAGTGACTGGGCAGCGGCGGCAGGAAGGGGCATCCATGGGGGCGGGGCAAGAGCAGCCGGGGGCGACCTCTCCCGCTGACCTCCTCCTCACTCCACTCCCAGCCACCCACTCGCCATGAGTATATGGCAGTGCAGAGGGAGGTTTAGGGCAATCTGCACTGCACAACTACATGATCCAGAATACCAATGGCAGGGGGATGTACAAAAACAAAAAAAAACCCCAGAGTTGATTGGATTATCACAGGGCCCTTCCAGGCAGAACTTATATCCCAGGATCTGATCCCAGGTGTTCAGTTTATCCCAGATTAAAATTTAATAATTAAATTTAAAAAATATTGAAAAAATATTGAAAAAAAAGGGCGCCATCTTTACAAAATGTTTTGTAAATATTAACGAAATTTCGTAAATACCGAACTTTTTTAAGGGAAAATTTTGTAATTATTTTAAATATCGAAACAAAAAAAACCCCCAAATACAAATCGATTTTAGAAACAAATTTTTCCGTTGTTACCCTGGCCTACTATCTGTGATAATATGGCATGTCTCATTAAGAGCCACATCCACTGTTTTAGCATGGTGAGATGTGTTCCACACTGGGCATGCATGCTCAGCAGCAGAGTAGCATAGCGCAAGGGCAGATGTCTTCACTGTGTCTGGTTGTGATCCCCAGATTGTGCCAGTCAGCTTTCATATGACATTGAATAGAACACTGACTTTCACCCATTATGGTTATTCTATGAAATGGCCATAAAAACAACACTGATCTCCCAAGCACAAAATCCACTTGTGTCCTGTTTCCAAGGTTGATGGATGATAATAAAAGAACTAATTATATTGTACTTGCCTGCAAAGAAAATGACTTGCTTAAGGCAAGTGGACATATGGTATTTGCAGGAGCACTTACAGTCATTTTTCATTTTAGTGTATTGAATTTAAAATTTCCTTGGGGCATAATCATGTTTCAGTATTTGCAGCAGCAGGTTGGGGTTAAAGTTCACACCCTGCAAGGAAAAGAACAATCGATTAACTAAGCTACTATTATTTGTAACTTCAGCTGATAAGCCAAGCTTTAAAGGAATTGCCAATTGTTGTGTCAGGTTTTGTGTGTGTTTTTGTGACAGGGATATTTTCATCTATATTGATGTTGTGTTGATCTCTGAAAGCACAAAGAAACTGTTTAATTTCTGCTTCTTTTGAATCTTTCAACCCCAAAGCTTTAGCACACACCTCCGGCTGCAATTCTTATTATTATTCCATGCATGTGCATGAAGGAACTCTGGCGGAACATAGGAAGCTCTTAATGCTGTCACTACAGTACTTGAGGAAGAGTCATCCTACTGTAATGGTCAGTGTGTTGGACTAGGTTTCTGAAGACCAGAGTTTGAATCCTCATTCAGCTGTGTAAACCCATTGGGTGACCTTGGGCAAGTAGTATCTCTTAGCCTCAAGGGAAGGCTGTAGCAAACTTTCTTCCAACAAAACTTGCCAAGAAAACCCTGGGATAGATTTGCCTTAAGGATACTATAAATCAGAAGCATATTAAACGCACATGAGTGAAGTAGAAGCAGAATTTCTCAAAAAAGAATGAGTGTATGAACATTCACAGACCATTTTACTAGAATATCAATATTGTTGTACCTTCACATAATAGGATGGCTGAAGACACATTTGTCAGAAATATGTATATTACCATGCATAACAGAATAAAAAACAAAACCCCAAACAACCACTGCCATATTGCAAATGAGAGGAGTTTTCTGAAAGCAAGTTCACATCAAAATGGGTTCAACCAGAAAAGTCATAATGGTGTGTGGTGTATCGTTTGTGGTGCTAACAAGGGAGTTGTGGAATAAATGCAGATCAGAAATATATTTTCCCAACCCACGTGTAGACGGGTCCCATGTCTAGCAAATTCATGGCCATGGCTTCCTTGATGTGGCTGGATCTATACTGCCATATAATCCAGTATCTGATCCCAGATTATCTGGTTTGAACTGGATTATATGAGTCTATACTGACATATAATCCAGTTCAAAGCAGATAATCTGGAATCAGAAACTGGATTATATGGCAGTGTAGAAGGGGCCTAAATTTATCCACCTATAATTTTTTCTTCCTCATTTCTTACTGCCTTCTAGTTTGCCAAGTATTACTTAGTTTTCTAGTCAGTTGTTTTGGCCGAAGTACAATAGCCTCAGTTTAGTCATCATGAAATCTATTGAGACTTTTGGCTTTATTTACTGTTGGTCCTTTTTGGCAGTCAACAGTGATCACAAAATTCTCTTACAGCACCAAATATTAAATGTGCTGGCACAGCTGTGCCAGGAGATCAGATTCCTTTTCTTGCACTGTTAGTTTCTATTCATTTGGGCCATGCATTTTGCAATTGGGTAGCTTTCCCCAGGTTGCAGTCATAGGGCCAACAACCTATCAATCATCGTTAGAGCCTTTAGATCCGCCCCTTTCCCCAGGTTTGGAGGGAAAAGGGGACTTTTCGTTCAGTCTCACAGTTTGGAGCCTTACAGCAGGACGTGTGGGCTTTTTCTGTCCCACCTGAAAAAAGCTTCACTTCTTACAGCTTTTGCTGGGGAAAAGGAAAACCTCTAAAGCTTTGCTGGGGAGTAAAGTTACAGCCAGCTTTGCTGGAAAATAAAGGAATGGTTCCACGGCCTTCGTGGGGCAAATCTACAGGGCATCAGCTTGGCAGATCTACAGCAACCATTCCCTGGTAAGGGTCACTCGGGCTATCCATAACGCAGCTTGGAGCCGGGAGTTGGGGCCTCACACCAGCAGGGTAAAGAAAGATTGCCCAAGTAGGGGTCGGAAGGTTTCCCTAAAGAAGATAGGAACAGTTTATCAACCAGTTGCCTGTCCCTTGTTGGCAGATCAAGAAATCTACTCGTTTTTCAAGATTATAAAGCATTTAATTCATTTGTTTGAAGATTTAAGCCTTAATTAAGAACTTTGTTGAATCTAGTTTGAGCCTCTACAGAACTTTGTGTTAGGAAACCTATGGGACCCTTTAGCAAAGGCACCCCGGCGTCCCGTTGGGCATACAGAAAGCACGTCCTGTAAACAAACATTGTCATAGGCCCAGCGCGCGATAGGACATTAAATAAGTCATTTTTCTTCTATCAGCTTTCATTACTGTACAGCATTCACAACCATACATAGAAATGGTAAATACAATTGTATGGACAATCCCAACTTTAATAATCAACTATATATCTTTGCAGTTGAGGATATTACCTTATTCCTTCATAACTGCTTTTTCAAATCCAATTCTTCTTATGTATTGACTGTAATTTTTATTTTGATTAATAAGTGAGCCAAGACATAGGGCATCTTTTAGCATTTCACTGTCTTCATTATCTGCTTTAAAGTTATTTAAATTATTGTTGGTAATTATTTTCATTTTCTTTTGTCTGTAAGCTTGCCTTTGCACTTTCTTCCTTGAGTTTCTTCAGTAATTTTTCTAGGGTTCTGCCATTTTCTGCTAGTAGTATAGTGCCATGTGCATATTTGAAATTGCTGATGTTCCTTCCTCCAATTTATACCTTCTTCTTCCAAGTCTAATTTAGCTTTACATAAACATTCAATATACAACTTAAACAGATAACATAATTAAATCCAGCCCTGCTTAACCCCCTTGCCAACTGGAAACCATAATTTTTCTTCATCCTGTACCTTGACAGTGGCATTTAATCCTGAGTAGAGGTTCTCCATCAGGGAATCAAATGTTGTGGTTTACCAATTTCTTTAATGATCTACAAAATCAAATCAAAATATAGATTTTCATGGTCTACACAATATAATATAAAGAATATCATTTTTGAAAGAGAAAAAAAAACAGGGACCTGAAAAGGGAAGGAAAAATGGGGTGCCAGTGGCATTCTCATGACAGATTAAGGATGTAGTTGACTATACAGGTTTATCGTGACTAGTGGTTATTATGGATGCATAGACATTATCTTATCTAAGGCTTTTCATCGGAGACCTCTTATATAGGAAAACAAGCATCTTCTCCCTGTTTCTCTCCACCGTTGCTATGGAGCCCATCATATGACATGTGGCTACTTCCGACGAGACTCTGTGCTGGCAGCATTGCAGCAGTAGAGCCCATAGGAGTTGTGTGTACACCTGATTCCTCATAGAAAAAAACAAGAGGAGTGGAAGAGGAAGCAGGAGAAAGTGGGGAAACATAGTGGGAAGGGATACAATGGACCTTGACAGTAGGGAACACAACGTGATAGTTCCCTCCACTGCCTGCTTCCTCACAATTTCCCCCACTGTCTCCTGCTTTACAAATGGCCATCTGATAAGGTCCTAGGTGTCCCAGATTTCATATATGCTGAAAGATAATATCTCACACATGTTGGAAATTGATATCTGAATGAGTAAAACATTGAAACTAAAGACTAAAACGTACATAGGGTACATTTTTGCAGAAAGCCATAGGTAATCTGCAATATGAAATAACCAAGCTTCTTCAATTTAATTTTGTTTTTGCTACCAGTTTTGCTCCAAGGAGCTCAAAGTAACATATAAAATTTCTTGATGTTCTTGATGTTCACAACAAAGCTGAAAGATGAGCTTTCAGTCTGCTCCTCTTCAGTCTCATCAAAAACACTAATCACTAAATTATATTAGTATGTTAATTGTTATTCTGTGGCTCTTGATGTTTCCCAAGCCATCCCAGTGTCCAATCAATATCATTTCTGCCTGCCTGCCTGCCCTCCTCAATACTCTTTCCTAGATAGTTACCATGTCATTCGTTTTTCTTTCTAGTGCCTCTCAAAGAGAAACCTACAAAGGAAGAAAAATCTCAAAAGAAAGTGCCTCCTTCTCCAAAAGGTAACTTCAACTTTGGAATTAATCCACAAACAACCTTATTCTCTAGGATTGGTAACACCCAGTGTGTTAGTTCTCATACCAGGCCATACAGAATCCTTAATGTTTTTTTTTCTAATAATGTTACTCATTATAATTCTCATATATCACTGAATGACAAAATTAGTGACTATAAAAAGGCAGCAGCAACAAAAACAATACATGCTTGTAGTGCATGCAGACAAAGGCCCCTTCTATACTGTCATAAAATCCAGATTATCAAAGCACAAAATCTTACATTATCTGCTTTGAACTGGATTATCTAAGTCTAAACTGCTAGATAATCCAGTTCAAAGCAGATAACCTGGGTTTTATATGGCAGTGCAGAAGGGGCCTATGCCACCTTATTACAACTGTCATTGTAACTGGTTAATAATGATAGCTCTGAAGAGAGTATATGTGCATTAGAATGTTCAAAAAGTAAATTAGTAAATTAGTAAATTAGAGTTTAGCCTTGCAGTTATACTGATGCAGTACATGAAAGCTGGGCTTTGAAAAATGTTTGAGTGGTTATATCTTACTTCAGGGCTATTTTTATTAAAAAATAATAAATTTCTGCTCAAACAATAACAAGAAAATTATAGACAGTCATTTGTGTGTCACCTCCTCTGATGGTGTTGCCTTTGCAATTTGCATACACACAGAGACAACCTAAAACCTTTTAGTATAGACATTAACAGAGGTAGTCCACATTAGAAAATAGTTTTAGATCCAGTTTCATGTGATAGAATGAAAAACAAATAAATCTGGTTCACATGACACAGTTCACCTGGATGTCATCCTTCATAAAGATTGCTGAAATGGTTAAAACAACTATAAAGTATAAAGAAAGGACATATTGGTAACAGGAATTATACAAGAACACAACTGTGCTTCACTCATCCACGTCAGTGAGATTTGCTCAGCTCTCAAGAATGGTTTTTGATCTGTGTTAACCAGTGTGTGAAATACATTGAGTCACCTTCGGGCTGATATGGGCGGGTTACAAATGTTGTAAATAAATTGTAAATAAATAAATAAATAAATAAATAGTTGTCATTTTAGATTTCTTGTATTAGACACTATAATGAATTAATCCAGATTGAATACTTTAGCTTTCAATGTTGTTTTTTGATGGAGAGCGACTGCCATTCATTACATACATAAAACAGTCTTCTGTAATGAAATATCCAGTGGCAACTTATGTCAGGAAACTCGTGCTATATGTTTTCATAGCTAGTGTCCATTTTAAGTCAAATGCCGATTTGAATCGCACAACTATAAAGATTTGTCTGCAGTAAATGGACCGTTTTCAACAATAAATTAATATACTAGAGAATACAATTTGTTGACAGCTTCTTCTAAGCAAGCTCAAAGCACTGCAAAAGTATATGGCATTTTATAGTAAGCCCTTTGACTATTGTATAAGAGGTGATTGTTCTGTTTTCTTCAAAATCCATTCCATGGATATATTTGTAATAAAGCCGTATATCAGTTTTCGATTTAGTGAGGATCAGGATATTTCTGAGGCTGTTTACCAACACATTGTGTGTGACTTTCGTGGTATCTAAAAATAGATGTTCAAGTTGTCCCTTTTTGTTTGCAACACCATTTCCATTTCTGTTTGTAATGTGTGTTTCTCTCACTGACAGTTTCACTTATATTTTACAGTTAGGCAAGGAGAGGTGCCCAGAAAAAATGTTCATATTTTATTATTATTACTTATTATTTGTATGGTAATGGGTTGTAAGAAGGAATCCTGTTATTCTTTTGATGCTGTTCTATTTTAACATATACTTTGAGGGGACATAAAGGAAGAAATATTCTATAGGTTTCTCATCAATTTCTTCACTGTAGCTTTTTAATGGTATTATTTATTTATTTATTTATTTATTTATACGCTTGTATACCGCTAATATCTCAGCCTAAGTCGGCGACTCATTGCGGTTTACAACATTTAAAAAACAGTATTCAGTTTAAAAGCATAAAACACATATACAATACAAATTATTGGGCCACCAATAATAATCCCATGCATCTCATAACTGGAATCGCAGTCCAAAATTCATCGTCCATGATTACCAATCCTTTAGTCATCAAAATTCGTTGCAACGGATTAACCGAATGCTTGTTTAAACATCCATGTCTTCAATCTATTCCGAAACACCATCAGCGAGGGGGCTGATCGTACCTCTATGGGGAGGGTGTTCCAAAGCCGAGGGGCCACCACAGAAAAGGCCCTGTCTCTCGTTCCCGCCAGCCGCACGTGTGAAGCCGGCGGGATAGAGAGCAGGGACTCCCCAGAAGACCTTAGGGTCCTGGTGGGCTGATAGGCTGAGATACGTTCGGATAGATAAGTTGGGCCAGAACCGTTTAGGGCTTTAAAGGCCAACGCCAGCACTTTGAATTGAGCCCGGTAGCAGATCGGCAGCCAGTGGAGCTGGTGCAGCAGAGGAGTTGTATGCTCCCTGCGCCCGCTCCTGTTAGTATCATGGCTGCCGCCCGTTGGACTAATTGGAGCTTCCGGGCTGTCTTCAAAGGCAACCCCACGTAGAGAGCGTTGCAGTAGTCAAGACGGGATGTAACCAGAGCGTGGACTACCATGGCCAAGTCAGACTTCCCAAGGTACGGTCGCAATTGGCGCACAAGTTTTAACTGTGCGAATGCTCCCCTGGTCACCGCCGAAACCTGGGGTTCCAGGCTCAGCGATGAGTCCAGGATCACACCCAAACTGCGAACCTGCGTCTTCAGGGGGAGTGCGACCCCGTCCAACACAGGCTGTAACCCTATACCCTGTTCGACCTTGCGACTAACCAGGAGTACCTCTGTCTTGTCTGGATTCAATTTCAATTTGTTCGCCCCCATCCAGACCGTCACAGCGGCCAAGCACCGGTTCAGGACCTCGACAGCCTCCTTAGTAGCAGGTGGAAAGGAGTGACAGAGTTGGACATCATCTGCGTACAGATGACACCGCACCCCGAAACTCCGGATGATCTCCCAGCGGCTTCATGTAGATGTTAAACAACATGGGAGACAGTATTGAACCCTGAGGAACCCCACAAGACAAAGGTTGTGGGGTTGAACAGGAGTCTCCCAGTAACACCTTCTGAGACCGACCCTCGAGGAATGAGCGGAGCCACTGCAGAACAGTACCTCCAAGACCCATCCCCGCGAGGCGTCCCAGAAGGATACCGTGGTCGACGGTATCGAAGGCCGCTGAGAGGTCGAGCAGCACCAACAGGGACACACTCCCCCTGTCGAGCTCCCGACGCAGATCATCCACTAAGGCGATTATTACAAATGGCTTAACTCTTCCCCTATATCATTTATTTATTTTGATGCTGATTAAATGCTATTATCCTACACACATTCTATCCTGAGTAAACATACATAGGATTGTACTCTGTGGCCTTTCTTTCACATTTTTCCGGGAGTCCAAGTGATGCACAAAACCTGACATTTTAATGAAAAAAATAACATAATGTAGTACAAATAATAAATAGTAAATAGTCAATAATATACTTAAAAGCAAATGCTGCCAACTGTAAAAGCATCTTCAACCTACTTTGGAACCAAGAGGTGAATTGTGTTGTTGAAGGCCTTAATGGCCAGAACTACTGGGTTGCTGTAAGTTTTTCAGGCTTTATGGCCATATTCCAGAAGTATGGCCATGTTCCAGAAGCCACCTAAGGAGAGAATTCATCAACACATTTCTAATGGCTTTTGAGTTTATGATGAGAACTATACTGTGTCCCTAGAAGGCCTAGTGTTAAACAGTCGGGTTTCAGACTGGGACATGGAACTGAGACAGCCATGGTCGCCTTAGTGGATGATCTCCGCAGAGAGCTCGACAGGGGGAGTGTGTCCGTGTTGATTCTTCTGGACCTCTCAGCAGCCTTCGATACCATAGACCATGGTATCCTTCTGGGGTGCCTCGCGGGGATGGGTCTTGGAGGTACTGTTCTGCAGTGGCTCCAGTCCTTCCTGGAGGGTCGTACCCAGAAGGTGTTGCTGGGGGACTCCTGCTCAGTCCCACAGCCATTCTCCTGTGGGGTCCCACAGGGCTCAGTATTGTCCCCCATGTTGTTTAACATCTACATGAAGCCACGGGGTGAGATCATCCAGAGTTTTGGAGTTTGATGTCATCTGTACGCAGATGACGTCCAACTCTATCACTCATTTGCACCAGATGCTAAGGAGGCTGTCCAAGTCCTGAACTGGTGCCTGGCTGCTGTGACGGTCTGGATGAGGGCAAGCAAATTGAAGTTGAATCCAGACAAGACAGAGGTCCTCCTGGTCAGTCACAAGGTCGAACAGGGTATAGGGTCGCAACCTGTGTTCAATAGGGTTACACTCCCCTTGAAGGCACAGGTTCGCAGCTTGGGAGTTCTCCTGGATTCATCACTGAGCGTGGAATCCCAGGTTGCAGCAGTGGCCAGGGGTGCATTTGCAAAATTAAAATTTATGCGCCAGCTGCGCCCATACCTTGGGAAGTCAGACTTGCCCACGGTGGTCCACGCTCTCATTACATCTAGGATAGACTACTGCAATGCACTCTATGTGGAGTTGCCTTTGAAGACTGCTCAGAAGCTTCAAATAGTCCAATGAGAGGCAGCCAGGTTAATAACTGGGACGGCATACAGGGAGCATACAACTCCCATGTTATGCCAGCTCCACTGGATGCCAGTTTGCTACCGGACACAATTCAAAGTGCTGGCTTTGGCCTATAAAGCCCTAAACGGCCCCAGCCCAAATTACCTGTCCGAACGCATCTCCCCCTATGAACCATCACAGAGATTAAGATCCTCCAGAGAGGCCCTGCTTTCCATCCTGCCATTGTCACAGGCGCGATTGGTGGGGATGAGAAACAGGGCCTTCTTGGTGATTGCTCCCCGGCTATGGAATTCCCTTCCTGGTGAGACCAGGTCAGCCCCATCCCTCCTGTCCTTTAGAAGGATGGTGAAATCTTGGCTGTGGGACCAAGCTTTTGGGACAGGGAAATAAAGCGGCAATAGGAAAGAGGGCCATGCCAAAATATTAGATTTGATGTGGATGACTAGGACGGTTTTAAATTGTGTGTTTTAATATTTTGATAAATGTTTTTTAACTTTTATGTATTATATGTGAATTTGGGTCCCAGCATTGAATGTTTACCATGTATACACTGTGCTCCGTCCTAAGTCCCCTTCAGGGTGAGAAGGGCAGAATATAAATGTTTTAAATAAATAAACAAACAAATAAATAAACTGTTTAACCTCATCATACAGGCTGATTTTCCTGTCATATGCCACTTCCTCACCCCTTTCACCATGGAGCCCATTACATGATACACAACTACTTCTGGCCAGGCTCCATGGTGAAAGGGGCAAGCAAGTGGCTTATGCTGTCACACCGGCAACACAAAAGGCTTTCCATGTTGCCTTTGCTACAATGGAGGAAGCTGGCGGTGGATACTCCCCCTCAGATGGGGCTGGTGGCAATATGGGGTGTGGGACACAGGTTCTCCACTTTCCCCACTGGTACCCCACACATTCACCATGATGCATGGTGAATCCCTCACTTAATGGGATAAAGTTAATGAACTAGTAATTCAGGATATGGAGAAAGTGTTTACATTTCATGTTGGCTGTAATTGTATTGATTGACTACATTGTGTATTGTGGGCTTTAGTTCCACAATTGCATGTGTGATGCAAGAAAAACCAATCAAAACTGTACATGTAGTTGAAAGCTGTCGAGAAATATTTTCTATGCAATGCTATCTAATCTTGCTACGTGGAAGTATGATAAGGGAATGTTTATGTGGTTGCTTAAGGCATTAAAGATAATAATAAGCATCTCATTGTAATGCCTTAAGCAATCACACAAATATTTATACCCTGCTTTTTCTCCCTTAAAAAAACTCAAAGCAGCTTAGGGGATAACTATAATATTAAAAAAAGCCTTGAAGATGTATTAGTTTTGGCATTTCAAAGGAAATTAAGGCTCCATCTATACTGCCATATAATGTTTCCTAATGCAGTTTAACTGCATTAAACTGCATTGTATGGCAGTGTAGACTCATATAATGCAGTTAAACTGTATTATGAAACTATATTACATGGCAGTGCAGATAGGGCCCTAAATATCACAAGACTTACAGAAATGTAACATATATAAAATTGCAACATAACATGTTGCAATTCCCTTCTAACTTGCTCATCACTTTTGACATTATGAAAAAGCTTTTCTTTTTTGGTAACAAGTTACTTCATTTATTACTACAACTATTAGAAGAGGTAAGAATATAGCTAATCTATTCTTTCTAATGTGTTTCAGAAATGTTGATACTTATTTCTAAGTACTGTGAGTGTGGTATTCCTATGTAGTTTTGTACATTTTGTAAGTTCTGTCAATTTTGTTCATTGTGTAAAGGTGGTATACAAATACAGTAAAATAAATAAATAAATTTAATCTTACATGAGACTAACATCTATAAAAATTAAAAAATGTAATTAACATTCTGCATGGAGCTCCCACTTTATGTCAATTAACTTTTCTTTTACATTCAAAATGCATTTTTACAGCAACTTTAGTAGTAAAGTTCTTTTAAAATATTTCAGTAGCAGAGAAGGTGAAAGAGAAGGTGAAAACTGAACAGCAAGAAAAAACTGAAAAAAAAGTTGCTCCAAAAGGTATTAATTTTTTTTATTCATTAAGAATTGATTAAATAATTATAAAAGTAGCTACAGGAATTACTGTTCTTGCTAATCAGTATGATTTCCATGGAGCAAGAAGCACTGTGAGTTAACAATAATCAAAAGGTCAGTCATCTCAAGAGCAAAATTCTCTTCCAATATATTTTTATTGTTACTTGACTTTGATTTGCCGTGGCCCTATGAAATCAAAGAACTTCAAGAGCCCTGTTTTTCAGCTGTCCTGCTCAGATCTTACAAATGTATTTCTCTTTGAGAAATACTTGTAATTTGTGTAAATTCTTATTCAAAAAGACAAGGTCTTTACACTGCAAATCAAGTACTATGTTTTCTGCTACAAAACGTGATGCATGGGAACCAAAACATCATATGCTAGTACATGAGGAAGAAACGTAGTAGTTGCCACTTTTTTCTTCCTTCTTTCTTGAAGGAAGAAAAGGGGGCAATAGACCAGTTGGCATCTGGCAAGACATTGAAGGCACTAGATACAGTCTGACTATGATGGCATCCTTAGGAATCCCTTGTTCCAGATGTATTGCCACAAAGTTTAAACACTCTTATCTGAAGCCAGGGTGTAGTGGTTTGATGGTTGGATTATTCTTGACTCTTACTCAGCCAAGGTAACCCAGTGAGTGACCTTTGGCAAGTCTTGGTCTTGGATGAAGGCAATGATGGACCTGCTCTTAATAAATGATGCCAAAAATATGGGATAGTTTGCCATGTTGTGGTGTTGCCTTGAAGGCCTTTGAAAACAATAATTTGAATGGATTAGGAAACCATTGTTATTAATGACTGTTCAATATTTACAGTTATGTCAATTGCACTAAATGCCTTTTTAGTGTCATGTGGCAAAGTATAAATAAAAGATATTAAACTTTATGATTTTTTTAAAAATTAACAGACAAGAAGAGCATCAAAGTTGAAGAAAAGGCTAAAAAGGATGTGAAAGAAAGAAAACCAGAAACCAAGGCACCTGAAAGTGTGAAACATAAGGAAACCAAAATAAAGGAAGCTGCACCTGAGAAAGCTAAAGCCAAAGCAAAAGAAGAAGTGTCTTTGCAGCTTGCAGAAAAGTCGGATACAAAAGGTAAAAAAAACTACCAGAAGCCAACAGCCAAGGAGCTTTGATGTGCAGGGAAAAGAAAGCCAGACAAAGAAGCTAAAGGCCATCCAGACCACACCCTCCCTTCTTCCCCTAAAGAATTAAACTCAGATGGGAATAAAAGCAATGCTAAGGGATATATATGCCAGTTTGATTATTGCACGTTAAAATGCAAATGAAGCAAAATTGCCTGGAAATATTGGTGGAATGCTTTTCTGGCTAATATTTTTTTATTTTGCAATTCAAAGCTTTCTTTAAAGAACAAACATTACAAAGGATTTTTCAGTAATGAGAAGGATAAGGTGAAAGGCATCAGTTTAGCATCATTTGAGAGAAGGATCAGTGACTGTCAGTCTATCGATGGCATACTCCACAATTTTAAGTCTATCAGTCTACATCACTGGTGAAGAAAAAACATTAGTCCCTGTCCTTTTTGTTGGGGCTTCAAGGGCCCTGCAGCATGACAAATGGATGGCAATTTCAAATAACCTCAAAAATGTAGGAGTGTGTTTTGATCAATTCCTCCTTTGGCTGTTTATTGATCAGGATTGGTCTTTTCTCAAATATAAGGAAACTGGAAATCGACTTTCATTTTTCTCCTGTTTGTAAAAACTTGATTTAATGGAACTCTACAGGGTCCAAAAGCATGGGGAAATACCCCCCCCCCCATAATCCCCAGAGGTCTGGCCAATGGCCTGGTGGGGGCAATAGATCAATGTGGTCTCCTTACAGCTTGCCACCCCCATCCTCATGCCTGTCTGCACAGGAAAAGCATCGCCCAAACAGAACAGAAGCATGCTTGCTCCAGTGGAGTCAGCACAACAAGGGAAGCTTCTATGTTTGGAGAGAAGTGTCCAAGGATGCTTCCAACCCAGTTGGGGGCAGGGTCTCTGCCAGAAGTCACACAATATTGTGTGATGGCTGGTGTTGGGCTTTGTCCCCAAAGAAGGCTTGAAGTGTCCTAGGACACTTGTTTTGGTAAGTGTGATGAGGTCTATAGCCTGCATTATCTGAGTGGGTAGCAGACTGGGATCCTCTATCTGGTTTCTTTTTAAACCAAATCAGCTCCTAAGTGTACACACAATATGCAAATATATCAGCTTTGAACCATTTTAAATGCTACAGCTGCATCCCAGGCAAGCCTGTAGCCAAGGTGTGGAAGGGGGGTTGGGTTAGGCATTTACCCCCCCCCCCCAATTTCAGGTAACAAAAGAAACTGGTTTACTCATGAATTTTAACTGGTTAACCAAATCCCTATGCTAAGTCTATGAGAAGCAAAAAATTAAGAGTGCCTTCAGAACTGCAAGCACTATCTCAACCAAATTATGCCAATTTACTCACACTATCATTACCAATCTTTCCACCAAGTTACATAGCAATAGCTGATATAGTGGAAACAACCAAGTTGGCCCACCCACAACTGGCCAGTTATGCCTAAGGCGCAGGGGGAAATTTGAAGGCCCTAATAAAGGAGACCAGAATTGGTGGGGGTGGTTGACAGGGGCAGAGCTACAGACTATTTAAGACTGTTCCACACAACCCCCACGGTCCTCTTTGCTTCAGAGTGAAGTAGGAGGCAGGTTCCTGATGGGGAATTAGGCTTTTCCCTCCTTGCTCCCTCCCCTATCCTTTTCCAGAGGATAATAAGGTTTCAATTGCTATGCCTAGGCCCCAGGGATTCACCCTGCAATTTGGGCAGTTTCTGCCCTTAGCATTTATTGGAGGGGATTTTCTAGCAGAGCATAAGGGCTGGAGGTTTGGGTGGCTGCAATGAGTAGAGTTCTCTCCTGAGGTGCCTCAAGGAAGGCTTTCTTTTGTTTCAGGCCTCTTGTTAAGCTTTAAATATTGCATTATATTGAGAGGCATCCATCTTGTTCTAGGCCTTGTGTTTAGCTTTATAGCCTTTGCCAGTATATTAGGAAACCTTCATTTGGAGGTCTCCATTTTGTTCAGACCTCATGTCAGACTTCATGCCTTTGGGCTATTGTTGCCTCAGGCTGGGGCCATTCTGGAGGAGGTCTTCCCCTGTATGTGAGAGGCCCTTCAAGTTCTGCTTGGTCATGCTCATGACCTAACAAACTTGAACACATCAGATCTGATCTGTTCTGGAAGCTGTATAGTCATATTCTCTTGGCCTCAGAGCAAGGCACAGACACAGTTATGGAAGTATAAATCTGTTGCACATGACTATAATCTTTACTGTCTCTCTGCAGCTTACCCTCCTCCATATTTTTGAAGTATACATGAACATATGCTAGATCATAGTTAGAAGTATAGGTCCTGAATTTACAAATAGAAAGATTATTGAGACTGCAGTTCACTAAATGCTTTGTGATCATGTTGGCTGGAAGTTTTTGGAAGCTGTTATTTAAAAAAAGTAACTTGGGATTACCATAGAATAGAATGAGTCCTACTGAAATCCCTGCATCTGTGGGAACTATCCCTAACCTCTGATGGGTCCCATTAATCATGAATAGCAATGTAGCACCTGTTATCTCTAGACTTTTGATCAAATTAACCCTGAGTGAAACAGACTTGCCTGCCTGCCTGCCTGCTCTTTTTCCTTCCTTCCTTCCTTCCTTCCTTCCTTCCTTCCTTCCTTCCTTCCTTCCTTCCTTCCTTCCTTCCTTCCTCTCTCCCTCCCTTCCTCCCTCCCTCCTTCCCTTCCTTCCTTCCTTCCTTCCTTCCTTCCTTCCTTCCTTCCTTCTAAATATTTACATTCCAACTTTATTCAGAGGACTTCTATCCATATGTTGATGTAGAAAGTCAACATATATTCACTAAACCAAATCAAAACCAAAAGCACATCAACTCTTCCCATACTTGTCATTTATATGAGTATTGGAAGGTCAATTCATCAAAATAAAACTGCATACCTCTATAAAATACATAAAGAACAATGCATATTAATTTTATATTTAAATGTACAACATGCAGAGACGGACTTCCATAGTACACATCTGTTTCTGTAACTGTTCTTCGTGGCAGTTGTTTTTAAGTGCACATAATTTATTTGAAAAAGTAATATTATCCAATGCAATGAATAGGCTTTCCATAGATATCAAAGAACCTTGGATGGAAACAAAATTAATGGCCTTTTCCCTTTTCAGATTAATATTACAGAGAGACATTCATACAACATTTGTTGGATAGAATGAAACCAGGTCTTTTAAGTGAGATTGATACAAAAGCCATGCTTAAATCAAATTGGATCTGAAACTGGAGATAGCTCAGAGCAACAGACTTGACCTATATTATCTGGAGATTGGATACATTTACACTGCAGAATTATAACTGTTTGACACTACTTTAACTACCACTGCTCATTGTTATGTAATCAAGGTTTTTAGCTCTCTCTACCAAAGCAGGCCGATACCTCATTAAGTTTCAACTCCCATTAATAGGCTATGCCTATTAAAGGGGTGTCAAACTGCATGAATTAAACAGTGTAGATGCACTTTAAGTGCCCTTACACACAGCAATATAACTCACAGCAATATAATGCACAATATCAGCTTTGAACTGGATTGAGTCCACACTGCCATATAATCAATTTCAATGTGGTTTTCATACAGCTGTTTGGAAGGGGCCAATCTACATTAAGTATAGCAACATGGTTTTTACATGTGCACACACACTATTGCTTTTATTAAGTTAAATTTGACATGAATTAGAAGTCAGGCATGTATTTCTTCTGTTACCAGAATTTATCATGTAGTTCATTATGTACTGTCTCCAAACATTTAATTTTCAAAGGTCTGCTCAACTTATAAAATATATAAGTGGATCACAATATACTTAGTTTGCTACAGGCTATGTTTTTGGTAAACAGTTAATATTATTAATTGCAGAGGTTTTTTTTAACTTTTAATCTTTCTTTGATGCACACCTGTGTTGGGTTAACTAGGAAAAGTATATAAAACCCATTGTTAACCCAACACAGGTGTGCATCAAAGAAAGATTAAAAATTTAAAAAGAAACTTGGCAATTAATAATATCAACTGTTTACCAAAAACATAGCCTTTAGCAAACCAAGTATTAAAGGTAATGCCTGACCAGTGAAATTTTAATGGCCCCGGTATCCTAACCATGCAAAGGTAGTGTAATCACTTGTCTCCTAAATAAAGACCTGTATGAATAGCTAAATGAATATTTAACTGTCTCCTTTAACCAATCAGTGGAAGTGATCTTTCAGTACAAAAAAGCTGAAATACAAACTCTACCCCAAGGGAATCTAAGCGCAAACTAAAACTATGATGAAATGAAGAGTTGCAAACTTGTCACCGATTTCTGCTGGAAAAATTAGTTAGATCAATGGCAGGAGCCCCAAGATAGTTCATGAAGTACCTCAGACAATTCCTTTAAAGTTCAGACTAAAGCTCAGCCCAATGTCATTGACCTATTGATGTGAGAGCTACCAGTCACCACTACTTTAATTCCCTACCTGGGCATAAGTGATTTTTGAACTATATCAGACTTACCTCTGAATAAACATTACTAAGATTGCAGTGTGTGGTTCCTTTTCATGTTTCCATTTTATACACGTGGAAACACAATCATTTCTGCATAAACATGCTAGAATTTCTCTACTATATATATGGAATATTGATATGGCCAAGCAGATTGTTAATAAACATCTCTTTTCAAAGTGTGATCATCAAGATATTGTGATATTATTCATATTTCCGTGATTTACTTAGCACCTCTTTCTGCATTTGAGCATGCATTGGGTTATATGAAACCATATATGAAATATCAGAAACTGCCTCAAAATATCACTGTCCAATTCATAGTCTGAGCAAATGCCAGGAAATACTTGCATGAAGCTATTTTCAATTCTTTTCTAGATTTGAACTAGTTTTCAGCAACATAAACAACCTGAAAATGCAGTCATTGTTTGAGAACAACCTCTTGAATATTGTACAAAAATTCTGAGTGCTATGTTGCACCTCTATTATTTACACATCAAATACATTTGTAAATTATGTACCAGTACATATTTAAGAATTTTATAACATACTATGTGTTAACTGCTGAGCAATTTTACCATACTGTGGTAAATAAGTATTATAAATGAATAGATACAAAATATAGTATAGAATAATTATGTGGTATTCAACTTTAGTTTTCTTTTCTACTTAGAAGTTAGTGGTGAGGTCTTAGTCTAGCATGGCACTATTATGACCAAGTACCCCATTTGCCAAATCCCTTCTTACATTTTCATCCTCACCTACAACGCAAGTTGGATAATATATTAGCACATTTGGGGAGGGAGGGTATCTGTAGGGGGCATGTTTAAATCATCCATATTTGTACACAATTATTTTGACCTAAAACAACTTCCATCACAATTGAATGTGGGTAAAAGAGAAAATGAGTCTTTGCTGCACACTTTATATCCATTTATATCCACACTTTATATCCTCTTTATTTATTTATAGTAAACAAATGTACACCATCTATTGAAGTTTCTTTCTTTCTTAGAACAGGAGTAAGGCCAACTTCGAGCTTGTTAGAGCTACTTTATTTTTATTAGAAACTCCAAATTCACTAACTGAAGCTAGAAATGGAAAGAATGCTCCAAAATATTTTTACACATTGTTTGAAAAACAGGTTTCTTGAGTGTCAGGAACTGGTGAGATAAACCCTTTACGGCTCCGGCCCAGCGTACCTGTCTGAGCGTATCTCCTTCTACGTCCCACCTCGGAGTTTAAGATCTTCCGGGGAGGCCCTGCTCTCGGCCCCACCTTTATCACAAGTGAGACTGGTGGGGACGAGGGACAGGGCCTTCTCGGTGGTGGCCCCTCGCCTGTGGAATGCGCTCCCCGGGGAAATTAGGTCATCAACATCCCTCCTCTCCTTCAGGAGGAAGTTAAAAACCTGGATTTGGGACCAGGCCTTCGGGTAAGCTGGCAGATGGACAAAAGACAATGACAACCAGAGTAGGAAAGGACAATGACAATGCTGGATGGATTATGGATTTATAAATCGGCGAACATTGACCACAAAATGATTTTATTGCTGTTATTGTATTGATTTGATTGTTTTAACTAGTAATAACTGTTGATGTTAAATTGTATATTGTATTTTGTGAATTGTTGGGCATCGAATTGTGCCTTTTGTAAGCCGCCCTGAGTCCCCCCTAGGGGGTTGAGAAGGGTGGGGTAGAAGCACTCCAAATAAATAAATAAATAAATAATCCTAGATGGTGAGAATCTTGACATTTGAGACCACACTGTAGAACTAATATAGTTTGACATCACTTTACGTACTCTGGCTCAATGCTAACAAATATTGAGTGTTGAAGTTTTACAAAGCCTTTAGACTTCTTTGCCAAAGAGTACAGGTGCCTCACCACCCTCACCAAATGACAACTCCCAGGATCATAGCATTGAGCCAGGACAGTTAAAATTTGACACCAACTGAATTCATTCTACAGTGTATAAGCATGCACCTAATTATGTGTAGAAAACAGCATTTTCTATGTCCAAAACACATTTGACATAGAAAAAGCACAATATCATGTGTCCAAAGTTGTGAATTATCTCCAGAAACTATGTATTCTCCAATGACTTTCTTGCAAGAAGGTGAAGAGTGGTAAAATGAGTATTTCCTGTAACACCTTTACAAAACTTTACACACCAAAAGATGTAATATACATTTATAATTAAAATTATATATTGAATTTCAATACTGAAAATGCATATAATATAGTCCACCTGAAATTGTTTGCCTCTGTCAGTTTCTGCAAAGAAGGAGGTGATTTGAATAAATATATTTTAATGATCCAATTATCTTCTAGTAGATATACCAACTGATTCCCTCTCTGTCCCAGTTTAGGATTAGATATTGTCTGTTGGAAAATTTAATCCAAAGTTTTTGCATTCATGGATTCAACCATCCATGGCTTGGAAAAATTCTGTCCCCTCCAAAAAAATTATAAAAGAAGGAATGGTCCAATATGTTTCTCAGGCCAGACTGAATTTCTGCTAGATGTTCCTTTGCAGATATCATTGCCATACTTGTTTTCTTCACTGGCCAGTTATGTATAACCACTTGCCCTCCAGCTGAGTATCTCTTTCTATGTTGGGGGGGGGGGTTCAACATTTTAGGGAGCTTATTAAATTCTTCTCCTCTGCCCGCTACCATTTCTCTGAGTCTGCATTGGCCTGCTGAGAGAGTAGGGCATCAGCTCCCAGTATCCAGTCTCTTCTTTACAGAGGACCTTATACTTTGATGCTATGTTGGATGTTATATTATTGTTGTGTGTCTCTTGGTTAAAAGGGGGAGGATGTCTGAGTGGCCATGCTGGTATTCATCTGTTTCTTGGAATTTTGTGTCAGAAGGAGTAAGACTTAGAACCGAGATTGATTTGGTGAGATTAGGGCATAGTTTGTTTTTGCCATCTTGAGTACGTCTCTTGGCATTCAAGTTCCAGCTCTCCATTATGTCATTTAATTGCTTGACCATTGGTTCTGCAGATAATTTGGATACTTTTGGTTCATAGTCAGCCTGACAATCTTCTAATCCAAAACTGAGGGAGATTTCCTGGAGGTGCTGCAGCCAGAATCCCAAGCTCTACCAGTCCAACCAATGCTCCAATAGTAGCTTTTAGGCTGGAAACTTCCCTTTGCAGTAAATCCACTATCTGAAATAATTTTTCTGATGTTTGCTCTACTAGGAAACATTGATCTCGCATGAAGTCATGCAATGTAGGTTCAACATTCTCTTTTGCTGCTGGGTGAAGTATGCCAGACCTCTCTTTAAGAGTGTTTATAATTTCTTTGTATGAAGAAGATTATCTTTTCAATGATGGTAAAGGAATCACTTCCATCAGACCTGGGTCAATGGACCAATTAGCAGCACCTTTGTTAAGGGAGAATAGAGAGATAGACTCTGCTTCATTGGCACCATCTCTTGCCTCTGTTGTTACACAAACAATCTTTATGGTACTTGCTCTGTCTAATGTGGTGAGATCTATAAACTCTTGATTCAACTGGTGCTCACTTGCTTCTGGTTCTTTCTCAACATCTGTTGGGTCATAGTATTCTAAAAATGACTTTTGAACAAGTGTAAGCAAAATATTCAGAGCAGAGGCTTTGGGTATTTGGGCCTATGTGAGACCGCTCTAAGGCATTGAAAGCTTAACTATGCCTAAAATCAAAACTGTGTGGTAGTCCTGGGCTTTGTATGATGATGATGCTACTTTTGCTTTTCCAATGCTATCCTTATAATTTTACAGTTGCTAAAGTTATTAAAAAGCAGGAAAAAATATGTTCAGGGAATAAGTCTCATATTGAATTGATAAAATGGTAAAATAGTGAAGTAGTAAAAAAGTAGAAAAAATAGCCGCAACCCCCTCCCAAATAATCATAAATGGTTGTTTAATGAAATAAAGTATAATACAAAAAAATCATAAAAATTACATTTTATACAAGGGATACTGTTTTATGATAGAATTATATATTATTGGGGCTAGTGGATACCAAGGTTCGTTCCACTGTAAACTTTGTAGGACATAGAATGGATAACTGGGCCAGAGAAGTAGTCCTAAATGTTTTAATCTCTGGCTGTATTTCTAATGTTTCTCTGAAGTTTGTTCCTGGCATTTGATTAGACTACAACTGTCATCAGGAAAATCCCATCAGTGCATAAGAATCCAGAAAGGAAAGAAGAAAATAAATATGGTTTTCACAACGTGTTTGGTGATTGATTGCTTTAAGCAAGAAAAAACCGTCAAAGGTTTCATTTTAATGCTAAGCTCCCTCTATCTCTTGCTTCCTAGTGTTTGGTGAAGATCTCTAATTGTGTCTTATTACTCTTTTCCCCCTTTTCTGTTCTGCTAGATCAATATGCATTCTGTCGCTATATGATTGACATGTTTGCTCACGGGGATTTGTATACAGGTACTTGAACTGACTTCCATCGCTGTTCCTCTGAAAGCTGTCTGGTTTGTTGTGATCCTGGAATGTGTGTGCTCTTTTCTATATGTTAAATGCTCAACTGAAGAGTGTGCAAATAGACTTTAAATAAAGCATATCAACTAATGGCTGTACCATTAAAGCTTCTAATAATCTTTTCTGTGATTGCATGCATTGAAATTAATGACAATATTATGTTTGAAGATCAAAATGGTTGGAAAATTCAGGAAAAATATTCCTAACAATCAATTACCATATTTTGCATGCATTTATATCATAGAAAGGATCGAACACATATTTAAAATAAGTAATGCTTTAAATTCTGTTATGTTTTCCTCAAACTGTAAAAAAAATTAAAGCAGCAATTAAAACAATCACAAGATGGTGACAAGTCCCTTAGATAGGTAGGTGTCCACTTTTGGGGCATTTTTCGTTTATGGAGAAAGACAAATAAGGGAAGACATAGATACAATTATGCATAATGTAGGGATGCAGGTGTTTTCCTCTGTGGTCATCTGACAATGTTGAAATAAACAGGTTAGATAAAAGGAAGTATTTCCTCATACTGTATGGTGAATAGCCAAAATATCCACTATATAAGTGGCACCAATTTTTGATGTTTTTTTAAAGGAAATCAGAGGTATTGATGCTAAAGCTATCAAAATCAATCTTCTTATCTATCTATCTATCTATCTATCTATCTATCTATCTATCTATCTATCTATCGCATCCCAAATCAAAGTCATTATGCATTTACCAGTGAACCTACACTATAGAATTAATTCTTTTTGACACTAATTTAACTGCCATGGCTGAATGTTATAGGATCCTGGGATTTTTAGTTTGAGGCGGCACCAACACTCTTTGGTAGAGAGAGTTAAAACCTTGCAAAACTACAATTGCCATGGTTTCATAATATTGAAGGTACATCTACAGTGGCCACTTAAGTCAGTTTCGAACTGGTATTGAAGAAAGTAGTTTTGCTGACCAGATGATTATATAGGAAATTCTGGAAGTAGTTTGAGGCCTGGCTGGTGAGTATAGAAAGCACAGAACATGGTTGCACATTAAGTACTTTCTTTTGCAGGCTGTTGTGGCTGCTTGTTATCTAGCCACCACAGTGTAGATGGGGTGACAGTTAAAGTGATATCAAGCTATATTAGTTCTAAAGTGTAAATCACACATGTAAACACAAGGCCCGCAGGTTGAATCCTGCAACATCATTTTATGAGACCTGCAAGGCTTTCTGTTTCAGGGCAACATATATCCTAGTTTTGTTGCTTGTAATGATTGTAAGTAACACTGTGATTAGCATTCAAGGTGGCATAAATCTTTGCAGTGACAAAAGTTTGAAGCTACCCTACTTCCGCATAGTGCTTCTGATCTATCTCCTCCATTCCCACAAAGGGAATCATATTGGTCCTTAGTCAGATGTTTTGTTTCTACATATGTACAAGGAAGCTCTCAATGAACTGTACTATGAGTTGTCATTGTTGTATGCCTTCAAATTATTTACTACTTATGGCAGCCCTAAGGTGACTCTATCATGGTGTTTTCCTGGCAAGATTTGTTCAAAGAGGAATTGCAATTGCCTTCCTCTGAGACTGAGGCCCCTTCTACACTGCCATATATAATCCAGATTATCTGATTTAAACTGGATTATATGGCAGTGTAAACTCATATAATCCAGTTCAAAGCAAATAATGTGGATTATCTGTGTTGATAATCTGGATTATAAATGGCAGTGTAGAAGGGGCCCCAGCCATAAGAGAGCTCATGATCATGTAGTGAGTTTCCATGCCTGAGTACATTTTTGAACCCTCGTATCCAGAGTTATACTCAAACAACTACACCATGCTATAAGATTACTATCTAGTTAATGTGAAAGAAAGAAATAGCCATGTGTGGTCAATGAAATACACATGAAATCGACACTGCATATGATTCTATTATGGAATGAAAGTTTTGAAGAAAATACACCACTTACCAAAACAGGTTCTAGGAAATTGTAATATTGAATTTTCAAGTCAAATATGATGTAACATACAGGCATGTGAGATTTGATAAGCACTCAAATCCTCTTTATAGCAAATACAGTGGTTATCTATAACATGGTTTCTTCAGGATCCAGGAGTGACATAACACATCCCATTGAATTGAGTGGGACCTGGACAGTTTTATATTGAATAGATAGTTTAATTCTGTGGGATGGCTGGAAATTGCCAAAGGTTAAACTCCTACATTTAGGATATGGCATTGGAGGATAAATTGACCTGCCTCGTGTAGGCATATAGTACTTCTGCTGTCATTCTTAATTCCTCCAAATCTTTTTCCAGCTTGTTCTTCCAAAGCAAACAGTGATTAATATTTTCTAAGTTTTGACACCTTCAGAGACACAGGGAGAAATATTGCCTTTCTACAATGTATATCTCACACAGAATTGCATGCTGTGCAAAAACAGAAGCAAAAGCACCTAGGATTTGTTTATCAATATTTATCATTTATCCTTTTCCCCAACAAAGAAGAGTAAAAACAGGTTTACAAGATCTAAAAAATAAAATATATAAAAATAGATTATCTAACAGCTATGACAAGATGTAATATTTTATTAACAGGATTCTGAAAATGCAATAAAATACTGCCTCATAGAGCTATATCCAGATAGATTATAGTAAAAAGAAAAAAAAGAAAAAAAGAATCCTGAACAAGAATTTTACTTATAAGGTCAAATTCTAGTGGGCCTTTGATGAAAGTCACAAACAAAAAGCATCTCACTTCTTCACTTGAATAATAAACATTGATTTCAATGGATGAAATGGTTCTTCTTGGCATCTGTACAGTCTTGTATCCAAATCTTTATAGAGTACAGGGTCTTAACTACATTGGCTTCTCATCACAGAGCCAATTCAGAGAAGAAATGCTCCATGCTGACCCCAGGTGGCCACATAGCTGTGGGAATGTTCTTGGCCATCATGGGCATCCCATGCTGACATCAACAGAGGTGCCTGTGCAATCAGGGAAATGGAAAGGCACCTGTGGCAACCAGAAGATCTTCTAGAGTTCTGCTGATGTCTGCAATGGTGACTGTGACACAGATCAGATCAGTTCCCTCTTCCATGTGCTGATAAGTGCAGAAAAAAAGGGGTGGCTGTAGCAGCTTATGTGGACTGTGGGCCAAACCATAGTGGGTCTAACTGTACTGTTCACACCATGGCCAAACTGTTGGGTTGCTCTGGAGTTTTGATCAAACTCTAGGATATTATCCAATCTTCCTTAATGCAGAGTTAAACCAAATTAACCTATTTTACCCAGCAATAAGCATAGGAAGTCCCTGGATGTCATGAAGACAGCCAGAAGCAACTTCGCAGTCCATGTGGACTATTCAGTCTGTGTAGATATTAAGTAGCTGTTGGCTATTACATTCCAGTTTTTGCTAGAAGAGGAAATATTCAGTTCTTCTGGTCAGAGAATACATGTGCCTACTTTCACATGTCCTGAAAGCATTATAATAGGAAAAGAATATTTGAGGAAAAAGCTTTTTTTCTGCTTTGAATACTTTCTTCAATGCAAAACATCTTAGGAAAATTTGAAGTATTAAGGATACTTAGGACAGAAAGGCAATCCCATTTGATGTGTACTTGAGTCTTTTTTTTTTACTTCTCAGTGTCTTGCTCTATAGGTCTCCTCTAAATATAGCAGTTCTCTTGTCATTCCTGAACTACAACCTCAATAATCTCTGTTCATCAGTTATTGTAGCTGAAGCAGATAGAGTTGATGTCCAGCCATGGTATGACTGACTGTTCCATGGTTTCTGGTGTGGTGTGTTCCCATGCACTTTCCACACTGCACCTCTGGCTTGGGCCTTCCCTTTGGGAAACTCAAAATGCACCAAGATCTATATGCACTGGCACCTTAATCAGAATCAGAACCTATGCTAACTGCTACAGTTGGTGAAACTTATGAGAAAGTCTATTACTTGAATGGTGAGACAATGGCCAATATTGATTTCACAGCAGCCATAATTCAAATTAGAAGGGTTTTAAGATAGTTTGTTGTACTTTACTCAAGATATCCCCCCACTAGATTTTATCTCTTACTTTTTAAATGAGAAGTATTTCCATTCACTCATTTGTGGTCAGAGGCACAGAGAACTTTCTTGGTATCTATATAAAATTAAAGAATTCCTTGACCCATGCAGAAAGGGAGAAGGACCTTCCAGTATCACCAGAAAGATTATAAAACTGCATCACAAGGCCTGAGGGCACACAGATATCTTTACATTTTCCTGCCTCCTTTTTGTGTCTATATGGTACTGATTTAGAGTGGATGAGAACCAGAATGTTTATTTGTGCCCAGAAATATTTTAACAGCTAGTATTGATGCACGACTGCTGTAATATGGTACACAAAGCTAGCTATAGTTTTTCAAACATTTTGCAAAGGTTGCTGCATGTAGCTGCATTGTTGCATACCTTCAAATAATTTCTGACTCATGGTGACCTCAAGGCAAACCTATCACAGAGTTTCTTGGCTAGATTTGTTCAGAGGAGGTTTGCTACATCCTTTCCTTGAAGCTGAAAGGTCACCCAATATGCTTCCATGGTTGAGCAGGGATTCAAAGCGTTTTCTCAAGAGTCATAGTCCAACACTCAGTTACTACACAATGCTGGTTCTCATATAGCTCCATGCATCCTTAGAAATAAACATGGCTCTCCAGGTTCTAATAATCTGAGTTGCCATTTGTTGTGGAATATTGTTATCAGCAGACCAGAACAATTGTAAATCAATAGTATTAGAACATTGAATTAGAACTGTGTATAAATTCTCTCATATTAAGTGACTCAGCTAGACATGGACTATGGGAGGTGATTTGCTGCAACTAATGACAGATCTCTGTAAAAACAGTGTAAATTCAGCTTGATATTTGATAAGAACAGTTCTTGGCTATGGATAGTTATGTTCTAAGGTAAGTCTTATGTCTAGTTT